AGAGTTACACTCGATGATCTAGCTTATATTATTTTCACAAGTGGTTCGACTGGAAAACCTAAAGCGGTTTGTTTTTGTTTAGCTTTTTGGTATTTGATTGATTTTGTGCTTTTCTTATAGGTGCAAGTACGGCACAAGAATTTTACTGAATTTATGTATTCGTTAGTTTTTGGTAATGTAGTGAGTGATATAGATACAATTCTTCAAATCGCACGTTGTTCTTATGATGCTCATGTACAAGATATAATAGGCGCTTTCTTGATTGGAAGTAGTTTAATTATGGTGCATCCAAGAGGAATCATGAGCTTTGACTATCTAGCTAGTGTTTTCAAAGAGAAGAACGTTACTTGTATTACTACTGTTCCAACTATAGTTCATAATTTCTTCACGTATCTGCAACAACAAAACTATCATAATGTTTCACAATACCTGCGATCAGTTTGTAGCGCTGGTATGTGATGCTTATATAATATGTATTATTTTTCATATTATATGATTTCATCTCTAGGTGAGCCTTGCTCTTTGAAACTGATAAATTTAATCTCAAATACTATAACGCACACTTATCGACTATGGAACATATATGGTCCTGCTGAGACAACAATTGCTTGCACGTTTCATCTTTTCAATAACACAAAGGACACTGAAAGCGTTCCAATAGGCAGACCACTTTCAAACTATCAATATCTAACTTTAGATCAATTTTTAGAAAGTGTGTTTATCGGTCAAGAAGGTGAACTGCTTATAGGAGGAGTGGGTGTCTTTGCTGGTTATCTTGGACGTGATGATTTAACTGCAAAAGCTCTTGTTGAAATAGATGGTCAACTCTTCTATCGAACAGGTGATCTTGTCACAATCGATAACAGTGGTCTTCTTTATTATCAAGGAAGAAAAGATCATCTAATCAAACTTCATGGACAACGTATTGAACTTGGTGAAATTGAACGATGTTTACTTAACATCACATCCATCTCTGCTTGTGTTGTCATGAAGTGGAATGATGATTATTTAGTTGCTTATGTTCAAAGTTCTGATATTGACGAAAAAGTATTACGGGAACATTGCCAATCTCATCTTCCACCACATATGATACCATCAATATTTGTTATACTTGATAAATTACCTTTGAATGCAAATGGAAAAGTAGATCGAAAACAACTTCCTTTGCCTCAGTTTTCAGTTGGTAACAACATACAATGTATCAACTCATTGACATTGACGCCACTTGAAGAACAGCTTCAGCAAATTTTTAGGAAGGCATTTCATAATGATTCGCCTAATGTAGATACGTCATTTGGACAAATGGGTGGTACTTCACTCGATGCTATACGAGCACTATCACTTATTCGACAAGATGTGTGTACTAAAGTTGATGCCGCTCTTCTATTTGCTAATCCATCTATTCGAAAACTTGCACGAGTCATTGAACCGTTATTAGTTCCATCCAAAAACATGACTTTTTCAGCTGTCAATTTGTCTGTTACGGAATACGAAGATCGACCAAAACCATGTTTATATATCGAAATATTAGGTATTCTATTACTTATGTTTCAGTGGATTTTACCCATCTGGTTAGCTTATCAATTTCATTCATTGTTTACTCTCGTTCTTGTACCCTTCTTTCATCTTCTTGCATATGTTCTCTGTCATCGTTTGTTGTTTCGTTCTGAGACGGCTGAAAAGAAAGTAGATAAATTATATTCCTGGTATTATTATCGTTGGTGGTTTTTGTCTAGTATGTGGTCAATTAATAATTCTTATTGGCTAAAGCATTTGTTGGGTACACCGTTTTACAACTCTTATCTTCGATTATGTGGTGCCAAAATTGGATGTCATTCACATATATACACAACACTTATCGATGCTCCTTGGTTGCTTGAAGTGGATGAATTTACATTTGTTGGTGAAGAAGTCGTACTTGCAAATTTATCATATCAAGATTTAACCTACGAACTTCATAGAATTCACATTGGATCATACTGCTCTATCAGCATGCGTTCTGTGTTATATGAATATGTTGTGATCGAAGATTATTCTTATGTAGAACCAATGTCAACTCTTACAGGTCTCATTTCCACAACAAACCATCGTATTTCCACTCAAGATCGTCATTTGTCATTATATCAATCTATATATCAACTCATGTGCTTATTCTTTCTTCTCTTCATCCATAGTCTGCTTCTTATGCTCTTCTATCACATATATTCTTGCTGTCGAACATTACTATTACCATTATCTATCACTTTAGCTTTGACCTGGGCGATGTGGACATTGACAAGCCTCTTTATTGCAATATTTCTATTGAAATTTGTCGTAAGATGTGTTACACCAGGTCACTACCCGCTAAATTCTATCTGTTATTTGCATAAAATATGGTTACGTCAATTGATTATAACATCATTTCGTCATTCATTCGATTTTGTACCATCATATGACGTTTTTGCATCTATAATTCTACGTTGGTTAGGTGCTCAAGTTGAAGATGATGTGAAATTCGCTGAATTTCGAGAGATTATTTACTTTCCATCAAATCTACTTTATATTAAAAGTGGTGTGACAACATTTGGTGGAGCTAAACTAGCTCCTTTCGAAATGACAAAAGATGGTTGTTGTTTTCTCGATGAAATACATCTTAGTTCAGGTTCAAGTCTCACTAATTGGTGTACAATCATGCCAGGTACACGACTTGTATCCAACACGATGGTCGGTAGTCTTACTTTAGTCCAAAAAGATACAGTTAGTAAAGACATGAATCGTGTTTTACTTGGTATTCCAGCTCGTGAAATGCCCTTTAGCATGCCTTCTTCCACATCACTTATCAATGACTTATCCTCATCATCTCCAAACTATTTATATTTTTATAGTATATTGATCACGTGTATCAGTTTCTTTATAAGTAAATGTATTATTATCACTCTGTATTCATCATTATCGTTTGGCATTGCACCATTTCTTCATCTTATTCTTGTATGTGTTGTTTATTACTGTTTGATTTCAATTAAAAACAGCAGAACAAAGTTCATATTTTCTAAGGTAATCACTCATCTTCAAAGGTTTTTTCGTACATTCATAAATGATTCCTTTGTCATGGTCGGATCATATCTATCTGGAACACAATATCTTGTTTTTCTTTATCGTATCCTTGGTGCTAAGATTGGATCTGATGTCATTCTACCTAATATCACCTGTCTTACTGATCCTCATCTGACAACTATTGGTAGTCATATTCGTTTGCACATGGGTGCTCATGTTCAGGTAAAAGAACACTTCTACATTATACAGATCGATAAATACATTATTTGTTTTTTTTCAATTATTTTCCAAGTGTCATACATTTGAGCAACGTTTGTTCAAATTGGTGCCAGTAACTGTCGATAATTCGAGCGTGATTATGAGTAATTCATTGGTACTTTCTGGAGCACAACTACATGGACACAATCGCTTACTACCATGGACACTTGTGATGAAGGATGATCAAGTACCAGCTAAAACGAATTGGTCAGGAGTACCAGCACGACAAATTCAAATGTGATTTACTCCAAAATATATTGTCAATCGAACGATATATAAAAAATAAAAATAAAGACATACTTTGTCATTCTTGACGTTGTTTTTTTGTCTTTGTGAATTAATATCGCATAGAGCTACATTTCCTTCTTTTTATTCTTCTTCTTGCTTTTTCATTACTTAATAAATGTCCTTTTGTGTGTCGTAGATTTTTAAAAACTTTGTTTTTTCGTACATTTATATAAAATGGAAAAACAAGATGTTATCATAATTATTTCATAAACTATATACAGAAAGTCAAATATGAATAATGTACGAAAAGAATAAGATAATTTAAATCAGATTAAATATTTTTAGAAATATTTTATATTAGTTATTTTATTAAATTTAATTATTGAAATAACTTTGTCATTAAGTAATAGTGCATCTCGAACATCGAATGATATATTATATCCTCATAAAAGATTTATTCCATCAGAAAATCGTTTTTATCTTGGTTTACATAAATGTCGAAATCGTTTACGATGTATTAATTTATGTCAAGAATTATCATTATGTCAATTAATTATGTATAATCAAATAAAACACGAATGCACTTTATTTAGTGAACATGTTGAATATGGTTCTGGAAGATTATACGATGAAAACAATGAGAATTTAATTACAATTCGTCTTGATAAAGATTCATTCAAAGATTTACATAAAACAATAAAAACTAAGAAAAATCCATCAGTCATAGTTTCTTCTCGTCATCAAAAATATGATAAGAATATATGTGAGAATTGTGAATTATAATTAATTTATTTTATTTATAGAAAAATTAATAAATAATAAGAATTTGAATTTTTCTTATATAATATAGAATTGTATGTAAATTGGTTTTGATGAATTAAATTATTGACTATATTTATTCTGATTATGTTCAGTATTTTTTTTCTATTAAATTTAAATATAAGAATAAATTGTCGAAATGATTTTGATATTATAAAATAAATATAAAATGTTGTATTATAATTTAAATAATGTCATTAATGGATGAGTAAATGTACATAAAATATATTAACAATAACTTCAGTTAATATAACTTTTCCTAAACAAAATTCATCTCTTTTAATATGAAAATTATTATGAATTAGTTGGATACATGATCTTGTTTGTTGTAATTTAATTGTAAGAAGATTATCAAAAATAATCATTAAACAAGTAGGTATTAATCTAAAACAAATTTAACTATAAATACTATAAATTTGTCCATCTAATTCATAAACACCACATCGATCAGTACATGCAACAATTACTGTATATCAAAAATACATTCATAAAGTATGTATGATATAACCACGAATACGACATAATGTTATGATGATGTACTCATAAAATCTGTATGATCAAGTGCATGAACAAGTGAAATTATAGCCCAGTTCGTGATAATCAAACCAAAAAATGATTTTACAAAAAGATAAACTGAACATGAATTTAATCGACGTTGTTTTTGTGATAATATTATATGACCTAAATTTCCAAATGCAGCAATTATAAATAAAATATAACGAGGCATAACTTGTTGAACAAGAGGAAGTGTATCTGCAATAGACATGATGATACAATCGTATAGAAATATAAATGAAGTAGATTGAATTGAGTTAGAAATATTTATTTTATTAATGTTGAAAACAAACTTATGAACTAAAACGAATAACTTAATAAAATATTTTATCAAAAAAAAAAACAAGGAAGATAAACGCATGTGTAGATCCAAAAGAATGTTTTGTGATATAATTCTTCTTCGTACCAATTAAAAAATCTTTAAGTGATAGTTCTGTCATCATTAAATTCTATTTTATCATAATTTTATCCTTTGAAACAAATGTGGTCATGTGATATCAATATAATTTTTGTCTATAAACTGTCTTAGAAAATGTTTTTAAAATAGGGTCATAGAATTACTCATACTATTTTTCACTTGCCATTTTTTAGGAAGTTTTTTCCTATAAATTAATGAGATTGATTTCTTAAGATCTAGTGAATATATCTCTTCGCAAAATATTCTGTGAACTCCTATTCTCGCCTCTAAATTTGTTTCATTGAGTATAAATGTATAATTATTATTATACTATTGTGATTTTTGTAATACAATTAATGGGTTGATATCATATTTCTTTCATATCTTTACAGCTATGCAAGTACATTCCTAATAAAGAAAATAATGAACAAGACAAATAATTTATTAGTAAACTCTAGTAGAGAACACGATGATAGATTATAACACTTTCAATTACTAATAGGAATGAATCGATTTATTCACACATTCCATTTTTTATTAATTATGATTATTTAAGTCGTCATTTCATAAAGTCGAAAAAATTTTCTTTGATGAAGTCAATATTTTACATATGTCATCTTTTTTTCAAATGAATATTCCAACCATCCTTTATTAATTTTTGCATAATTGTATATTTATGTTTATGAATTAACGATGTAATATAATTATTGATTATAATTTTTATATCAGTTTTTGCAAATTGTATACAATATTCATAGAGTGTCAAGTATGGCCAATCGATATGACGTTTAGTTAAATCAGCTCCGTTTTTTAGCAATATTTCTACTGCCCAAAGCATATTATAATGAATTGCTGTAACTAGTGGTGTACCCAGTTCTCCATCAACATCTATATTAAATTTATATCTAATCAGTTCTCTTGTCAATTGTTCATTATTTAATTTGATACATTCATGAAGTACAGTATCATTATTATCAAAATGAATCTTCTCAATAGTTGTATCAGCTGCTAAACATAGACTCCCTAGTTGATAATAATTCCCGCATCGACAACATTCCTAATTGAAAAAAAATTTAAAGAACAATAAAAAAGAAAAATATCATTTTCTTATTACTTTCAAAGCTTGTTTAAATATTAACATTCTATATGGTGATGTTTGTATTGTTGTCCTTATATATTTTCTTACACGATCATAATCTATTTGGTGCTGTTTACGATTTGTATATTTAGGTGTACAAAATACATAAAAGTCAGGTATATTTATTTTCGATATATTATCTAGAGAAAATGTTGAACTTGTTTCAAAAGATAATGATCCACTATCTCTTAAATAAGCATTTGTATCTAAACAAATTAACAAATTGCGATAATAGATGTTATTTTAACAAATATTTTCTATTAGCTTACGAATTTTATTTCGATTGCTTGGTTTTCGATTCGGAAATTCTTGTTGACATCTGTTCGCTGCTTCAGAATACAAATGAAATTGTATTTTTAAACGTCGTGCTAATTTCGTACGAATATCACCATTGAATAGAGTTGATGTTGATACTGATTCATATTTTTCTGAAGATAGTGGTGTATACGTAATTGATTCAATAAGAAACGGCTATATTTTATTAATAACATCTTCAAGATCTTCACTATTCAATTTATCATATGATGACAAAGGTTGATCAGCACATCGAACTAAATCATCATACTTTTTGGTTAATGTTAATGGTGCCATTCATCAGACAATGAACAAAAAAAAATTAATTCACAGCGATAATTAAGCGCTTGTTTTTTTTTATTTTAACAAGATAATGAGCACAATAAAAAATGCAAAACACACCCTGATTTAAAAAAAATAACAAATATAATGAAGTTAATGTCGCGATATTTCACGTACTAATAAATGAGAAAAGAGGCGTTGAAAATAAGCCACACCATCAGGCACCATTTTATCATCCGGTCGATAAGTACCATAATTATTATTCATAAGCAATGTTTCACCTGCAAATCGTATATTGGACGAACGTTTAGCAAGAACCACATGTTTACTTAATAATCGATAAGGATATTTAAGTGTTCTATGTGGAATTTTACCAAAGACTAAATTGCCATTACCAAGTAAAACAAAATTGTATTTTTGATTTATTGGTAATTCATCAATCAATCGTATTTTATTAATAGTTCGAGTAATAGGATGGGCTTGTACTTGAGATCTTCGTACCATCCAGAATAGATAAATAATCATCAATATCAATAGATGATTGAGATATTTCCCAAATAGGACTTTTATCCCATATTAGTTTAAGTAAACAACCGAATAAAATAGTTGGTGGATAAACAGATATTGTTATAGGAAGACCAACTAATTATAAAATTAAATAATATATTTTTCTTGATTATTTATAGTTATTCTAACCTTTCGAGATGTTGTAATGTTTTCCACGACGAAGTGGAATCGATGGTTTTTGACGCCAATCAGTATAATAAACAGGTGTAGGCTGTATATTAATCAAGCATCGTATTGACTTACTCGATCTGAGCCTGGTACTGCAAAATCATCTCCTGCTTGTAACTGATCTCTTATACTCGATTTCGAGTCGAAGAGATCGCAAAAACAATATTTCGACACGAATAATGTTATAATAATTGAACGTTGATTTTGTACTCGATAATCACGTGATTAAATAATTATTAAAAACTATATTTTCTGCTACATTTGAAATACCAAAGACGATAAAACTATCAGAATAAATGTCATAATATGAATAATATTTATATTCTTCCATATGGTTAACGAGTGGCACATTCTACAGATATATATTAAAATGACGAATCTGACAAACTGCTCTTGTTCTATATAAATATTAAAATTCATTATTATATATTTATATTTCAAAGATTGCTTTCATTAATAGCATGTTTAACGTCTTAACTATTCTGTTACTATTACATAATATATAAACACATATTACCCATTAGAATTCGTCTCTAGTTAATAGTTCTTAATCAATCATTCAAGTCGCTTACTCTTACAGACAATTATATTACTTGTTATCTATAAATAAAAATCTTATAGATTATTTTGTTAATCGATGAGATTAAGTTTTTGATTATTATCGATAATTAAGAATATTTTATAATTAATAAATGATTGTCATCATCATCAATTTGTATTATCTATGAACAATTTATATTATAAATATTTTCATGTGTCAGATCAAATTCAGTATAATACAAGAGATTTCAATAAGATTAATTAATATTTTGTGAACATGTATCGACATCTATCGATGAACTGTAACTGAGTGGTGAGAAAAAACCTACCATTTATATACAGTGTTGATTGTTTTTTCCCATTTATTTATGAATGGGTTTTTATAAAAGAACCTTACGTCATTAATTCTATGGATTCATAGACTTTGACTCATTTATTACATTATATATTCTTTATATAAATAACTAGTTTTTTTTTCGAAGTTAACGTCAAACACGTAAAGCAAGTAATCAAAATAATACAATGCCAAAAAATAAAGGAAAAGGTGGTAAAAATCGTCGTCGTGGTAAAAATGAAAATGATGATGTAAAACGAGAATTAATTCTTCGAGAAGAAGGTCAATCATATGCTCAAGTTACACGTATTTTAGGCAATGGTCATTTAGAAGCATTTTGTTTCGATACTGCCGGTGGAAAAAAACGTTTATGTCATATTCGTGGTAAATTACGAAAAAAACAATGGATTAATCAAGGTGATGTTATTCTCGTTGGTTTACGAGATTATCAAGATGATAAAGCTGATGTTATTATGAGATATCTCGGTAAGATATTTATTGAATAAATTAATTTAACAAAAAAAAAAAAGAATTATACAGTGAATTTTCTTTTTCTTTTTAGCTGATGAAGCTCGAGAATTGAAACGTATTCGTGAAATTCCTGATAATATTAATATAGCTGAATCAACAACAAATAATACCGATGGATTAGATGATGTTATCTTTGATGAACGTTATAATAATGAAGAGTCAGATGATGACGAAGCTGGATTACCTCGAAATCCAAACGCCCGAGCAGGCAATGCTGAAAGTGCATCAGAGGAAGAATCTGGTGAAGAAGAAGAAGATGAAAATGATTATTATAATCCAAATAGAATGCCGAAAAATTCTGGAAATTTAAATGCAAAAAATCTAATAGGAACTAAAAAAGACAGCGGCAAAGGTTCACGTAATGACAAACGACAAGCTATTTCGGGATCAGAATCTGATGCAAATGATGATCTGGCACATATCTAATAGTAGAGTATTGTAGAGAGAGTAGGCGACTATCCATTCTTTTTTTCCTGTCTTCAGTTTTCGTCATCGATAAATAATATAAATCTTTTTATCAATAAAATGGTTAATAATCAAAATACATGTACATTTTAAATAATATACCTATTTGCTATTAACTAATAAAAAAGAAAATGATTTCTTCCGTAACATCAATATTATTCAGTGATTCAATTAATATAACTTATAATATAAAAATCGATGTAATTGTTACATATCCTAAAGAACAAGTCTTTATTAAAATTTCATTATTATGCTTTGGCTTGTTCTATCATTGCATATGAAAAATAATTTGTGATACACGATTTTATCTTTTTTTTATTTTGTTTATACACATAGAAATACAACAATAAATAAATAAATGACTATAATAATAATAATTAAAAACGTAAATTAAGATTCAAATCAGGTAATTTAATATCTTTGATCTTTTGCGGTAAATTCATTTCTTTTAATGCTGTCATTGCTTTTGCTGGTGCAGCTGATATTCCTGCTTCTTGTTTTTCTAATTTCGATTGTTCTTCAATTCGTGCAACAATTTCATTCATACTTGTTTCTAATACCATACCACCTAAACATAATTCCTGTAGAATATAATGAACTTTGTCCGCATGAAAAATAAGATCAAGTTCACAGACATTCTAAATATTAAAAAAAAATTAATTACAATTACATTTCATTTAAAAATTAAAAATATTTACCTCGAAACATTTATCAAGTGTTTCAACGAAAACTTGAATTAAATCAAGTATACCTAATTCACTTTCGGAACTATCAACACAAAATATAAAATATAATGTTGCATAATGACGATAAATTAAACGATAATCATTTCCACCAATTAGTGAACCACCTTCAAGAAAATTACATACATTTTCATCGCGTTTTGATACTAAATGATAAGTTTCTCGAACGATTTGCTGTTGAATTTCTTCGGGATAGTATTCAAAAAATTTTATTAATCGTGGTTTAGCTGAATTATTAAACACAAGTATTGCTTTAATCATAATTATTTAAATCTCTTATCTAAAACAAATATAATAAATATATATATAGATAAATGCATTTTTCTTGTGGCCTAAACCAACCTTCGAAACCGTGAAGGTAAACAACAAATTTTTTTGTGATTATATGTGCATTGAAGCAGAACATAAACGATGAATATTTTCATATTCATTTGTGAAAGAAAAGACGTAAAATAAACAATATGGGAAGTATGTTTGGCAAAAATAAAAAATTATCATCTCAACAAACGCAACTTTATAGTCAACAAACTCAACTACAACCATATGTTATTCAACAAATCCATGATGCATTTACAGATCGAGCAGGAAAAAATGGACGGTAAAGAATAGAAAAAAAATTATTTTATTAGAAAATTTCTTTCTCTTATATAATATATAGGATGAATGTGAACGAATTTAAAATAGCATATCCACAAATGAATCCAAATGCGAATATGTATAATATGGATATGGAAGCAGAACGTATGAAGTTTCGTTTCAAGTTTTTTTTTTCATTTTTGTTTTCTTTCTGATTTTTGACGGTTACTCATAGGAATCTTCATGATGTTCGATACTGATCGTAATGGTAAAAGAAAAATACGAACAAAAAAAAAAGAACATTATTTTGCTAATTTAATTAATTTTTCATAATAGGCGTGTTGACATTTGATGAATTCATGATAGCATTCGTTCAAATGCAAAGAGGTAGTAATATTTCCTCAAAATATTGGTCATATATTAAGAGCATTCTACATGCTGACATCCTCTCTAGGTGTAGTCTTCTAAATGTTGCAAATGTTCGTCGACAACATATAAAACACTTTGATCAATATTCATATTCTGAGCGCATCTTACAACGACATGTTCAACAAATTCTTCGATTTAATCTTATTCTACAAGATGATCTTCTACAATGCTTTTTATGTTTGGTTAAAATATTTTCTTTCCTTTTATGTTCTTTCCATATATATTTCTTTTATAAACAACCATATTTTTCAATCAAATTCGTTATTATTTTCATTGTCATCCTCTCCTGGAGGTTGTTGCAATTGATCATCATGAATATTAGTAACACCAATGTCACGAATGAAATCACGAATACTTTCTTGTAATGCTTGTAACATACCGACGTCATTTTCACCACCACCAACAGCACCACCTTGAGCATTCGGATCGACCAGAAAATTCTATAAAAATTATAGAAATAATTCGATTTCATTTTGTCTTTTTTTCAAATTACTTCTAAATTGAAATTTGGCATTAATGATCGAAGAAACATGCCAAATGAATTGTATGAACTATTCACTTGCATGGTAGGTCTAAAAAAATAATGTAAAATCAAATAGAGAATAATAAAAAATAATTCTACCTTTCCGGTCGTTGAAAACCAACGATAGAATCTGTTGGAGGAAATGGATCAAATGTATAAAATGTATTTGCATTTTGCATAGCCTATACAAATAAAATTATATAATATTTCGTTTTTTCTCCTTCATATATACATACATTCGTTAGAAATCCTCGTATTTCATTTGATTCTGATAAAACAATATGTCGACATACATTAATTGGTGTTTTACGATACTCTGTTTTTCTTCTATAAATAAATAAATAAAAAAAATAATCAATATATTTTCTTTCTTTTAAATTTACAATTCAGTATAGTTTGCAATTCTTGGATCTTGATTCTGTTCAATAATTTGTATAACATGATTAACATTATCTTTTAAAAAGTCTAATTCATCTTTTTCTTTCCATTCATTTGACATTCGTACAGCATATAATTGTTGTATACATTTAAGTGCCTCGGTTTCATATCGTTCACTATCAGAAAAATATCGACATTTTTCAACTGTTCTATCTGGTCTTATTGATAATTTATCAAGTATATATTTAAGCATCGATGGAAAACGTATTAATGCATTTTGTAAAGTTTCATTCGCTTTATCAAATGATGATATACGAAAATATGCAAGTGCTAATGAATAAATAAAATTTGGTAAACCATCAAGTTTTAATCGTTGATTTTGTTCCGTATAAAAACGAATCAAATAATTATATTCTTCTGAACGTATTGCATAATAATCGAGAAGAAGAACAATTGCAAGTGGATCATCAATTGGATCAAGACTAAATAATTTGAAATAAAAGAATATTTTTATATATAACTTATATATGAAAATTTACCTTAGGAGTACTTTACAAAATTCCAGCGCTGTTCTTGAACAACCTCGTTCACCAATATAAATAATATGTTTAAATAAACTGATAAAAAACGATCGATTTTCTTGTATTCGATATTCTAAACGACATTCACCACGTGTAATAGAAAATAGTGGATGAAATGATTGTTGAAAACTGTATAAAGCACGTTCTAATAATAGAAAAATAAATAAAAATATTATTTATATAACAAAAAATAAATTTACCAATAAGATCAACAGCTGTTGGTGTATCATCTTGCATTCGACTTACATCACTTAAATGAATAAGTGCATCAATATGATAAGGATGATGACGAAGAATATCCTATAAGCAAAAAAAAAGAAAAATATTTTATTATAAAGAAGAATGTTGAATAAACCATAATTCCTTGTAGATTATGTTGATCAACATGATCAAAGAATTGAATTTGTAATCGTTGATAATCTTTATCATATTCAAATTGAAAATAATTTCCTGTATTTATTGCTGTTTCAGATAATGGTGATGATGGTTTCATTAATAAACCTATATAATAAAAATGTTATTATTTTTATTCGACCAAGAAAAAAACAACAACTTACCAAATTTAAAATAATTGGGCCATCCTACTTTAGTAAAAATAAAAGCATTTTGTTTAGCTAATCGAGTAGATGGACGTTGTTGTTGTTGTTGAAGTATTTGATATGCACGACGACTATAATAAGAAATTAATTTTAGAAAATTTATAAATTAACTATTTACCGTTGAGCTGGCATATTAGCTAGCATTGCTTGTGCAGTTGGGTTATTTTCACGTTCAATTTGTTCAACAATACTACTTCCAAATTTTTTTTTCATTTCATTTATTGGATTTAATAAACGATTATCCGTTGATAGTAAATCTGAAACGATGTCTTTTGATGATGATGCTGCTTCTGATTGAGATTCGTTTGTTACAATTAAAAAATCATCATCTACCTAAATAAATGATTTATTATATAAAAATATTTAATATTATTATTATTAATCATTACTTCATCAGTTTTTTGAGTTTGAATATTTTTCTTTTTTATTTTACGTTTTCGTTTTGATTTTGATGTTGTAGATTGCTGTTGTTGTTGTTGTATTTCATCATTTAATTGATTATCACTATCTATAACAACTTGATCATCATCATTATTATTATCATCTTCATCTGCTAACATTTCAAATGCATTTCGACGATAATCATTTTTTGTTGTTATTACTAAATCGGAGTCGTCGTCATCATCATCATCATTATTATGTTTATTAATACCGACTTTCTGTAAAACTTGTGCAAGATCATCTTGAGCTGTATGACCTGCTGTTTTACGTACTGCCCTTGAAGACATTTCTTATCTGAAATAATATATAAAAAAATCAAAATATTCAAAATAGGAACATTCTCGAAATCACAAATAAGAATTCAAAGGTTATTTTAATTACTGTTGCGATATTACTTTAAACGCTTGTTGATGAATATTTTGGTAAACTCATTGTGAGAACATGCCAGAAAATATTACATGTAATGGCATAGATAATTGTTTTTAGTGGATCAGTTTCCTTATAAATAAGTAGCTCGGATGAATCATTATCATCACGAAATCCTAGATTCTTAAATAATGGTTTGTCAGCATCTGAAATAAAACAACAATATCGACCGCAATACTTATTGATTGCACGATAGGCAGGTATGTATGGACGAAGTAGGACATTGCGAAAGACATTTTCCAGAAGAGAAAATATTTCAATATATTTTATTATATCATTTTTTTCCATATTTCTTTTGTTGTAATCAATATTTTTCCAAGTTTCAAAAAGATAGTTAGCCTTTTTGAGATGTCCTCGATACTCTAAGTGTTGTCTCCAAATGTCATCATTTGGGTCTTCTCCAAGAATAGATGGTAGCCGAGAAAATACGGCAGCATCATTTTCACATGTTTCAAAATATTTTGTATAACCATCAAGCGTGAATATATCCTGAAGATCAATGAATAAATATAATTTCATTGAAAAATCATATTACTTTCTTATCTTCATCAATATGTCGTGTATCTTTTATAGTTGTTGAGCTATAATTTGCCATTTGTTCTTGCAAACAAGATTTCAAAATAACGATTGAGATAAGCTCTATGTACTTGCTTGGATGACAATTCATTCTTCGCCATTGTGTCAAAATAATACATTGCCTTTACAATTTTAATAGAGGGCGTTCACTATCAGTGTATTGTCATCGTTTTTTAAGGAAGTAAAACAAATGTAAAAGTTTTTCATCATATTGCTTATCATGTGATATGTCTTTTACTTTCGCATAATCCATAGAAATGATATACACGATATATTATCACATGTCAGTCTTTTACTAGGTTACATGTCTGTATGGTACAGTTGCAATGAAATAAAGAAGTAAAACTTTAATTTTTCTTTTCATTTGCATAAAGAAGAGCGAAATATCCATAATTCCGTGGGTGTGAGTGAGGTTCCAGATAAAGAGAATACCCACACTCATACTGACAGTAATTGGTAGTTAATAAATCTTAATTTTACTAGAAACAATGTTATCGATTATTCCTTTGTAGTTTTTTTTCTTTATACTTATGAATGAAATATTCTGACTGTCTTACAAGATACGAAAGTATTATTATATAATATATTTATGTTCTCTACGTTTCAATATATTGTGTAGATGAATTAAACATGTTATCACGTGCTCTGATCGACATATAATACAGAAGGCTTCAGGGAACATTTTTTGTATATATTCTGATAGCTCAAGTCGTTCTCTATAATTGTACAATACTTCATAATATCTCAGTTGATATAATAGTAATAGTATCGAGGCAGGAACGACTCGGCGAAAAAAAATTTGATCAGATGTCCAAAAGTGTATGTAACATTTTTTGTTTGCATATTTATTGACTCGAGTGAATGATAAAATTTTGATCTTTTTTTGAAAAGCTCTACAAAAATCATATAAATAAAATCCTATTCAATTATTTTCATAGTTTATTTCATCGTCCAAAATGAAAATGTACGTGACAGTGAATGTTAATTTTGCAGTGTAATGAATAAAATAAATATATTTGGAAGCTTTTTATATTTCACAATAGGAATTTCTTTATAGAGCTAGCACTATTACCTTCGGTATGCTTTAACTACGTATCTTCGATAATGACTTGATGTATAATATGCGTTTTTGTCTTTCTTCTTTTGTTACTGCCTTCAAAAAAAATTGTTACAAGCATTACTCACAAACGATTACCTATATCGAAAAAAAAATCATATAATACATTTTTGTCACATAGAGAGTAGAATGGGTAACAATATTTCGCTCTATATACTATAGACATGATATTCATTGTATGATAAAAACAATCAAATTCGATTATGAAAAAAGTTTTCGCAAAATCGCTACGATAAATCTCGCTCAATAAACACCATATCGTATGAATTAAATAGTTTCGTAGCAAGTTATTTCTTGAATACATATAAGTTCATTAAGAAAAAAAACATTATATAAAATTAAGTATCTGGTTTATTTGAAGCTAACAAATATTTTTTAACATACAAAAAAGTCATGAAACAAGCTATGCGGAATTTAATACAGTAGAAACAATAATGTTAAAAATAAGAAAAAAAATCAAATGTAAATATTACTTCTTTAGATGGCGTAATGATGAACGTGAACAGGTGAACTATAATGAAATGGATGTGCACCATAGCCTCCACCATATGCATTGTGAATGTAAGGATTTCCATGATATTGATTGACCATAAAATGAGAAGCATGATGAGGATGGTGATATGGATACGTGTGCGATTGAACACCAAAACCACCATATGGTGAGTATGCGAATGGTTGCTGTTGATAAAACATATTGTATAAATGTGTGAATGATAATTATTGAAAGAGAAAAATGATATTAATCGTTAGCTATATCCATTATATATATATATCCATTTTCAATATATGTGAGAGACGTAATTAAATCATTCATCCATGTATTGTATAAACTCATTTACTTTATGACGTCAATAATAAGACGTCAATGTAATTAATTCAAGGACGAAAATGAAGTGACGCAAATTATTAATTACGTACCAAACGACATCGGAATCAATTCCGTAGTTTATCGTTGGTTTTGTCTTGCTTTCAATATCTGTTCATATCATAAAAATCGCTAAAAAACAACATTTAGTTGAAAAATACATCGAAATGATAAGTATATGACTAACTATAATAAATTATTGATTTTTTTTATTAAATAAATAATACGTGTAACAAATCGAAATTTTCTACTTTATTTTAATGTTGCACGATTTTTAACATACTTGTACAACTTTACTGTCATTGTATGAATTACTCCATAATTATTAATACCATATAAAAAAAATTAGAAAAGATATTCTAATCTTACTTCTTTTCTCTCTTATTAAAACGATGTATACAGCATTCTTGTTTTCAATTATTTTATTAAACAACAATTCAAGACATAATGGAGAGAAGAAACGTTCGTTGAAAGAATTGCAGTTTTCCTTTACCACTTATTTTCATCAGAAAATGTATCTCAGCATCGACGTATTACAGTGATGGCACACATAAAGAGAAAAAAAATTAGACAGAAAAATAATAATATAAAATATGTTGATTGCTTCATTTTGACGACAATATGAGAAAAGTAAGTATTATAGCTGATGGAAATAAATTTTTTTGTATTTTATTTAGCTTAATCTTATCATTAAAATATTCTGCTTAAATTTTTCAAGAAACTATTATATCTTACATTTGTGATTAATAATTCATAAACTAAAAGAAATTTATTTATTAAAAAAAAGTTTTTTACTCAAAATCAAATAATTTTATCTTTTATTCAGTACATAGTTCATATTTTTGAATTCGATAATTAGAAGAATCAACAACATAAAGATTTCCGTCAACATCAAATGATAGACCTCTGGGAAAATTTAATTGATTTGGTTCTCCACCACCACTACCATTTCCACCAACAACAATTGTACCGTTTGTATCTCCTTCGCTCCATCGGATAACTCGATGATTCACATAGTCTGAAATAAAGATTAGGCCGAAATTATCAACAATTACAGCAGTAGAAAAAGATAATTGGTTAAGATGGCATCCATTTCCATTTCCACCAGCAACAATAATCCCTTCTTTTGCATTTTTTTTCCATTTCATTATACGATGATTTGCTTGATCCGATACATAAATAGAATAATCTTCATCGACGAAGATTTTTCCAGGACCATTGAATTGATTTAGAAGGCTTCCTTTGCCATTTCCACCTGCAACTAGTGTTTCATCTATGTGTCCTTCTTTCCATCGTCTCACTTCAGACTTTACGTAATCAGAAACATAAAGAGATTCATCTTTGTCTGTTGCTACACCGCCACAGTGAATATTAGCAATGATGGTTTCTGGATATGTTGTACTTTCACGAAACCATCGCATTACCCGTGTGTTGTCAGAATCACATATGATTATCGCATTTTTCTTTTTATCAACGATTACGTCGGTTGGCGTATTGAGTTGATCTTCTCTATTTCCTGGTCCGTTGTTGCCACCTGCAATGATTTCACCAATGATCGAATTATATTTCCATTCAATAATACGATGATTATGAGTATCAGCAATCAAAAAACTATTATTATCATCGATACAAATCCCAACAGGATAAGCAAGTTGATTTAATAGATCTCCGTATCCATTTCCTCCAGCAATAGTAATTCCATGTTGTTTCCATTTTTTATATTTTGGCTTGTTTTGCACTAACAGTAAAGAAAAAAATAGAACCAATTTTCATAAAAAAATTTCATTTGATTTTTGCAAAAATTCGAGAAGAAAGCAATGTAAAGATTTTTGATTTATCTCAATTCAAAACGTTCGTTTTATTTTGAAATAGAAATGTTGAATCATATATTCACATTTATATTGGCATCACTGTGTATTTTGCGATATTTCCTTCAGCTGTTTTTCGATTAGTTTTCTATCGGAATTTTGAAAATACTATACTCTAAGCGAACATCCTATTAGAAAGGTCTTGATCATGGTACACAGAACTAAAAAGATTCTCGGACTTTAGATACATATGATCTAATGTAATCACTGTAGTTCATGGATGGAATCCCCTTAAATACTTCGGAAATAGTCCATGCGATATCTTCTACAAGTGTCAGAAACTAAATCATAAATCGATCGTCGATTTAATAAATTGCACATTGATAAACTTTCAGTGAACACTTTTTGAACAAAATATTGAAATTTCCTTCTTCATTTTCTATTTATGAATTCTATTCTTTGAGATGTATGAAAGACTTTTGTAAATATATATTCTTACCTCTCAACTTTAAGTAAACAATGATAATAGAAACCCACTCATACAAAGATAAAAGGTCGTTTTGAACAAAAAGAAGTAAATCTTCTCTTTTTGAAATAGTTCTTCAAAGTTCTTCCTTGATAAAATCAAACTATCGATATATCTCTCTGCAAAGTATGATTTAGAATTTATCTCTGTCAACAATTAAACGATAGAATTATAATCTGTATGAATATTCTTATAAAATATTCAAAAATAAACTCAACACTCAACACATCGTGCAAATGTGTTAATAATTTACTAAAAAAAAAAAGTTTACCACTTTATTTTATTTCATTAATAATATACCTGTTGTCATCGGGTTGGCCACTGTTGTTGTAAATTTATGAGTTGTTGTTTTGGTTGTCAAAGTTGATAATTTTATCACGTTTGTTGTTTCTATTGTCATAGCTGATAGTTTTATTTCGTTTGTTTTTTTTGTTTTAATAATTACGATTGGAATAGTTACGACCAAAATAACAGTGATAATACCAATAATGATCCATAATAATTTCTTTTTTTTTAAACATTTGATTCTATAATAAACAATGCTTTTAATTATAAATTTCAACAATTCATAAAACACATACAACAATGTTGATCGATCAGCTGATGTTTGTTGAGAATTCGACGTAACTGGTTTAGACTAAAATAATTTATTAAAATCAAAGTTATTTTATCTAATTTAAATATAATATATTACATCACAAACTCCTATTCTATTTTGATTCATAATGAATATTTTATTAAAATCAATAATCTAAAATATCGAATAAAAACACATGATATCAAAATAAAATATATCTTCAAATATGAGAAGAAAATAATACTTGAGCAAATTTAAAACAATGAAATTTATTTTCGTCCATGAAGACTGAAAAATCTTTCTTTTTCCATTATTCACATAGCATTACATTATATGAATACTTACTTAAATCCAGTTGATCAAGAACAAGAGGTTGTTTTGCAGTGCTATTATCAAGTAACTGACTACAAAATTGTTAAAAAGACAGAAAACACTTAAATATACTGCTGTAATTTAATAATCATGAAAATAACAAAACATGAAGTATTTTTATTGAAACATTTGCAACATTAAAAATGATTAGTAAATAAGAACAATAAATTTTACTTCCTTTTTTAGAGCTCATTTTTGAACTAAATCCTACCAGATGTCAATTATGATATGCTGAGAATAGAATAAATATTCATGATATTGAAACTTTAGAGGAAGGATATGAAAGAAAAACATTGAAAACCGTCACTTATAGAAGAAAATGCAACGTTTTTTAACAGAAAAAAAACAGAATTTATTTGAATAATATATTTTGTATAGAATTGAAAGAATAAATGTATCGATTAGAATATTTTTGGAGTTGAAATGAATGACGACCTATTATCATTCGTCAATATTTAGAACAATATGCTGATGTATTAAAAAGTAATTAAATGTAAATTACATCTTTAAAAGCATCTACCAAGTATTTTTATATTTAGTATTTGTGCAATATCGTTTTCTAGTTATGATATTCTGGATTTTTTCCAAAGGTGATTTTTTTGTTGCTTTCGTGTAGATTTTGTTATACGTAAAATACTGTTTTATTCATTTAATTGTATTTCTTTGAATAAAAACATAAGAATTTTTATTCAGTTTCCTACTGATTATTTCTTTACTTTTAGTCGAAAGAATGTATCGTAACGAATGATAAAAGCTAATTTAAACCTGTTTTTTTACTTCGGTCTATCAAAAAACAAACATGATTCTACACTATTTTTTTTCTTCGTCAACGTAAATAAAATACTTATTTTTCGCAAGTTACTTCGATGGTTAGCCAACCATCGCAATATTTCATTACTTGTTTTTTCGTTCGCCATGTGTTGTTTTTCATAAAAACATTATGCGCAGTTAAAGGAAAAATATTTCGGAAGATAGTAGATACCGATAACACGAATCAGTCTTGATAATTATTTCACTAGTAAATTTTACACAGTAACTCCAATTCAAACCATTCACGTAGCAAACAATGGGTAAGAGACAATCAAAATCAAGTCTATCGGCAGTTCCAAATGGTGCAGAAGATCGTCCACCTGTCGATCTCCAACGCAAGAGAAATGTCCTTCTAATCTGGTTAGACAAGAATGTTGACGAGAACAACGACGATTGTCAAAATACAATCACAAAACTGCGACGTACTATGAATGACACCAATATATTTACAGATGTTGATCAATGCTTTAAATTCATTCAAACTGTCGTCGATACTAAGGTATGCATGATAGTATCCGGATCACTTGGACAAAATATTATGCCTCGTGTACACAATATGTCTCAAATTGATTCGATTTTTATTTTTTGTGACAATCAAAAACTTCATGAACAATGGGTTAAAGATTGGCCCAAAATAAGAGGTATCTTTACAGATATTACACTCATCTGTGAAGCACTCAGGGAGGCTGCGCATCAATGTGAACAAAATGCCATTCCCATGAGTTTCATCGGATCAAATAAAAGGTTAGATCAATTAGATCCTTCTTTTATGTACACACAAATCATCAAAGAAACTATATTAACCATTCAATTCAAACAAAAGCCCATGCAATATTATTTTGATTACTGTAACGATATTTTTGAAGGTATTACAAAAGAAATTGAAGATATTAAACAATTAGAAGATGAATACCACAATAAAACACCTATTTGTTGGTACGCCTGTCAACTGTTCCTGTTTCCTATGCTCAATCGTGCATTACGAGTGATGGATGCTGATATCATCGCACGTATGAGTTTCTTTATTAGTGATCTTCATCGACAAATTGAACAACTTCATCAAAAACAATATGCTGGTACAACTGCTACAGACACTTTCACCGTTTATCGTGGTCAAGGTTTATCTATGGAGGATTTTGAACAAATGATGAAAATCAAAGGTGGTCTTATTTCATTCAATAGCTTCTTATCTACTAATAAAGATCGCAACATATCACATGATTTTGTTCAACGTGCTATAGCAAATCCAGATCAAGTGGGCGTCCTATTTATTATGAAAATTAATCCTGCTCACTCAACTACATCATTTGCTTCCATTGCTGGTATTAGTGACTTCGAAGGAGAAGAGGAAGTCTTATTTTCGATGCATAGCGTGTTTCGTATCCAGAATATTGAACAGATTGGTGAAAATAATCGTTTATATGAAGTCAACTTGGTACTGACTGCTGACTACGATTCAGAGTTGAATAGACTTAATGATTACATTCGACAAGAGAGTTATCCAAACAGTGTAGAATGGTACAGATTGGGTTTAGTATTAAGTGAAATGGGTCAATTTGACAAAGCTGAAGATATTTATCAAGATTTACTTCGTCCAATAAAAGAAGATAAAGATAAGACACCTTTATATTATCAACTTGGTTTGATCAAATATAAGCAAGAAAAATACAAAGAAGCACTTACATTCTATGAAAAATCATTTGCTATCTATCAGAAATATCTCCCTCCCAATCATTCTGATTTGTCTCATTCTTATCACAACATTGGTTTAGTGCATAGAAACATGGGCAATTATTCAAAAGCACTTTCATTACATGAAAAAGCCCTTAAAATTCGACAACAATCACTTCCTTCCAATCATCCTGATGTGGCTGCTTCCTGCAACAGCATTGGTTCGGTGTATGAGAGAATGGGTAATTACTCAAAAGCGCGTACATTTTATGAACAAGCTGTACAAATTGCACAAAAAACATTACCTTCAAATCATCCGGACCTTCAAAAATGGAAAAATAACCTCGAGCGTATAAAGAATAGATAATAAATTGTATTGCTATGAATTTTGTTTGTAAGAAAGAGAAAAAAAACTGTATTTGTTCAGTACTATGAATTATTCTTTCTGTTTCAATAAAAAAAATTAATTCACACGTATTGAATAGATAACCGAAAGATAGGGTGTGGGTTAAGAGAAGAGACACCCACACCCACTCACAAGATTCACAATCGCTTAATAAAGATTCAAACATATTCGAATAATCTTTTTTCATATATAAAAAAATCAATAAAAAACATTTCTTTTTTTTCTGTGCTTAATTTATTTTCAAACGTTATTCGCGTTGACTAGACTTATTAAAAAGTTGTGAGACATATATGCACCGACACATTTTCCAAGTCAGAGAATAGAATAATGAATAAAGCAGTCCTTTTTTAATTCACTTGCGTTAAAAGCAAATATGTCTTACAGGCCAAAAACAAATGAATCATTTTTCAAATTCAATTGCTATAGACTATCGATAGTCATGCATAATGAAAAATCATTCTTTTTCCAACAATGGGCATCACGCACGAAAACAAATGATTCAGAGAAATATTTTGTACTAGTGCAAATTCTTCTCGTTTTAAGAGTGAAATGTGTTAGTGTGGTTGTGGGTATCAGTGCGCGGAAGGTATTAAAGAAACTACTTTATTCAGCTCACATCCACATCTACCCATACTAACACCGAATCCGACACCCACACCTAGAATAGACTCAAGCGGTTTTGTTGTTTGTAGATACAAGTGTCCGCTTTCAACAACTAACAGAAGGGAAAAAACCACACTTTCTGATTCACATCACTTTATTTTTTTCCAATTGGGAGAGACGCGCCAGCGGCAAATATTTAGTATATTTAACTTTGAATTCATCGTTGTTTTTTTCAGTCGAGCACTCGGTAAAGAAATCAAATCATATTAACATAGTAGCATACATAGGTGATGGCAGCAAAAGTAAGCAACAATAGTTCTGGTGTATTTGCCATTGGTTCACAGTCCACGACGATTAATATTGGAACGCCAAAAAATACTACCCGAAGAGTTACTATTGGAAATACTCATGTTTCAAGATACAATCATGTCGTGACAAATACGAATTATCTCGTTCGAAACACAAATGAAAAGAAAAAATGGTTCATGCGTGGTGGACACTTTCTTTACCATCGTCCTATCTTAGCTATTGCACTGCTTATTTGCATCGCATCGATTCTGATGACTCTCCTTTTTAAGAAACCAATGGGAGCCATCGCGATTTTTATCTCAAGTATTTATATTGTCCTGTCAATATACAATATTATTATCTATTGGTTGAATCGCCCTCTTCTTCATCCTTTATTCACTATTCTAGTGTTGAATCGTGTTCTTCAATTGAACAATGAGTTCTATGAAGTTCCTCTTCAAGCCACAACACTTAATTCCATTCTGGCTGCTCTTGTTGCTGATGTTGAATCGTTTATAGCCACATTAAAGGTACAAAACATTCATCGAACTGAAGTAACAATTATGCTGTACGATGTGAAATATTTACAGTTCACCAGTTTTCCAAAAATGAGTATCTTTTATTTATTGTTTTTTGCCGCGATTATGGGTGTAACGACTGCCTGCATTACAGGTGCTATTCATGCAGATTAATGAACTAAATATTGAATAATTTCCTATTACCATCAACAAAAATTATTTATGTAACTTTAGGCCTCGTAGCGATCCTTTTTTCCTTCTTTTTCTTTTAGAGTGTCCGTCTTTTCTACTTTTTATACGAATAAACTGCCAGAAACATTGAAAAAACTGCGTAGCAATACGTAGTTAGAGTCCGACACTGATGAAAAGTTCTCAGAGCTTTATAAAATGCTTAATCTACTTCAAATCCAATGATAAGGTACTTGATCCTCAACTGAATAGGGATAAAAATGCAAAAAAAAAGCTTTTTGCATTTCTGAAGTATAATTCTAAGATCTTTAACGAAAGAATATAATCAAAAGTAGCACTCGTCGAGTATATTCGATCAATGACGACTGATCTTGAATTACTGACCATCCGACGGCGCTTATCAAACTTCGAGTTCATCTCTTTCATCATCTATTTTAAGGAGAGACATAATATATTCTATCATCACTTCGTGTCCGTACTATATTTTTCTCAAAGAGCTTAGACTCCTGACTACTCGGTTTTACACATTACATCTAACGATATAAGCCATGCTTCCTGCCTTATCGTATCTAATCCGTTGTCTCCATCAAGCGTTTTGAAGTAAGGGATCGTTTGATAACTGTATATTCAATATCAATATCTTGTTTAGTATGCAAAATGACGTAACACGCAAACACTAAACCAATTAAGCCATATTTTGAGCAATATAAAACATCTCGAACGTGTTTTTCTCATGTATTGATACTATATAGCTCCTCCTCAGTTGTTGTCAAAGAAAGTAGAATTGAGTGCTTGACATTGAAGGGTGTGGGTGTGGGTGTGGGTGAGGGTGGGTGTGGATGTGGCTACCAGTGATATATCTTTCATCACCCACACCCTGGGTACGACCTGATAGCCTTTCCTCTTTCTTGTCCTCTTCTTCTCTTTTCTGCTTCATCTATTAATCTTTTATCGTGTTTGATCATCCACATCTGGTCTTGATAATGAAGGGATAGCCTTATAAACGTCGACTTTATTATTTTTATTGTAAAATATATTACATTAATTAAATAAATAAATATTATATTGAATATTTAAATCATTTATTGATTTTTTAATTTATTTAAAAAAAAAATAAAAAAATAAATGATTAAGAAATCTAAAGCTGCTGTAATCTCACTTATATTTTTAAATGTTCATGCTCTTCAAGAATATTTTGACATGTTGGCCGTTCATATGGGCTGTCTAACTGACAACGTGCACTGATTCCTACCCAGAATGTTACATATTTACCATTTGTATCTACTCGAGAGTTGTCTATAGTTTGCTGAATGGTAGCTCCGAGAGAAAAGATATCTATTCTCGCTGTTGTAAATGTACTATCTATGCTGTTCGCACGAAGTTCCGGGGCCAAAAAACCATCTGTACCTTTAATAGATATTGGTACTCGATGAATGAATCCAAAATCAGCTATGACAAAGATCGGTGATCGTTCTTCTCGAAGTTGAACAAGAATATTTTCTGGTTTGATGTCACGGTGAATGAGATCATTTTTGTGTAAATATTCAAGACCAGTAGTGATCTGTTTAAAGATGTTGTCTATGAGTTTATCATTAATCTGTCCTTTCTCTGATGCATAGTCAATATACCTGGTAAGATCTGAGTCAAGACGTTGCATAAGAATGTCGTAGTGATCTTCGCGATCTGAACTTTTACGAACGCCATAATAATGAAGAATATTTTCATGCTTCAGCTCGGTAATATAACGCACTTCTTGCCACTTAAAACTACCAAGAGAAAGACGTTTAGCTGCAATATTTTCTCCACGTGTTCCGTCAGTGTCGCCAAGTTTACCAGCATATACTGGAAAATTACTTTTACCCAATACTGTTCCAAGATTGATTTCACAAGAGGGATATTCAAAGCGACTCGTTTGATCAAGGAGATTTAGATACAGTTGAACAATTGATAAGTTGTTCTTTTCAAGAAATCGACCAATATGTCGTGCTGCATCAGTGTTTTTCTGTTCATTCATTTTCTCTATTTTTCTCTTCATTACGTCGCTCATAATGTTCAGACCATTAGAAAGCGTCTGATGAACATGGTCAAATATATCTTTTTTAAGCCCCTCAATAATTGTTTTAACGCTCGATTCTATACTAGCTTTTGCTTGACCTGTGAACTTCCCGCGTTCGCGCATGAGTGATATGCCATTCGCTAGAATCGGTCCTACCCCAAAAGTAATTCCACTACCAGCAACAGCAGTAGTAGTAGCAGTAGCAGTAGCAGTAGTAGCAGCAGTAGCAGCAGTAGCAGCAGCAGTAGCAGCAGTAGCAGCAGCAGCAGTAGCAGTAGTAGCAGCAGTAGTAGCAGCAGTTGTAACCCCAAAAAGTTGCCAAAAAATAGCCAATAAACTACCAGCATCAGCAGCAGCAGCAGTAGCAGCAGCATTAGCAGCAGTAGCCGTAGTAGCAGCAACAGTAGCAGCAGCAGTAGAGGCAGTAGTAGCAGCAGCAGCAGCGTACATAGCCGGGAAAATCCAGAAACCTGTAATAAGACCAGTAACAGCAATAGTAGCCGGAAGGACTATACCCAACCTTTTTAAATTCGCAGAGTTAGGAGCCCATTCAGAAATATTTGTGAGGAACGAAGCGGCATGATAAAGTTTAGCGGAACGAAGTAGACTATGGTCTTCCTTTCTGTACTGGCCGATAACAGCTTGATATGCATTGCTATACAATGTACGCTTTCCCAATGAGACGATGACAGCTGTTAACGCTGGATTTTCCCCCAACTTTCGATATAATTCATTTACGCAGTTTGAAACGCCTTTCTGGATTTGTTCACGCTTCACCGATAACTCATTTTCGATTTCGTCAAGAAGTGCTCGTTGTATGTTCTCATCGTTATCACATTCTGTATTAGTAGAAAATTTACGTGAAACAGTTAAGTGTATTTGTGTAAAAGGTTCTTTTAACTCTTTCTCTATCTGAGCGTGCAGCTCGGCAAGATGAATAGTCAACATATTTGATAGTTTCTCATCTCGTTGGATACTTCGATCGATATCATCATAATCAAATAATTCATGAATAGTTTCTGTAAGATATTTCAGGCGATTAAGTGCAATATTGCGTACTGCAGGCCTAAAGAATAATGGTAATTTGTTAGTGAATTGCTTATAAGAATCAAGGAAATCTGTTAAATTGTGTTTCGGACTTGTGCATAACGGAATAAAAAACGGTGAGGATTTCCAGTCGTTACCGATTTCCAACTGAAATTTTTCGGTTATTTGATGGAATGTATTATCAAGAGCGTCCTCAACATTTTCCTTTGGATTCGTTGTTACTTGATCGATTTTTGTTACAACGAAACAAACTTGTGGTTGATATCCATGTTTATCCGTACAAGATCGAAAAAGATCGACAATTGTTTTGTGAACACCTTCTCCAAACGATTGTAAAATAAAAATAATATTGGTTTCTTTTAGAATATCTTCAATAATTGAATTCAGGTATTCATTTTCATCGAAGCCTGGGATATCCCATAGCTCGATATATTCTAATTCTTTACGATTTAACTGAATAGTGACAATATCTTTGCACAAATCGTCTTCACGAGCAGACCCTTCAAGGGCAACTAGCTTTTTAGTAATTTCTTTCAATTGTTCAGGATTGTCTATTCCGTACTCTTCTTTTACATTGCCATCAATCGATTCTAGTTTAACTGATAATTTTTCACCATATGTAATTTTGGTTAATCGAGCAGTTGTTGCACAGATCCCTACCGGACATACGTCCGACTCCACAAGATAGTTGATGAAACTGCTTTTTCCTGATTTTAAACCACCAGCAACACAAAGAACAATCTTACGCCGTGGATTACGTATTGAATCGTATTGAGTACCCAAAACATTGATTACGCCATAGTGATTTCTCAATTTCTCAATTAATCTCAGTAACTCATTTTCACATCCAGATAATATGTCCAAATTATGTATGGCTTTAAATGCAAATGAGAGTGGTTTTTGAGTGAAGTCAAAATGGCAAACCATCTGCAATAACGTCATCTGAGATTGAACTTCTTCTGTGAGACAGCGTTGCGGAAGACGTTCCAATTGTGAATTTAACTCATTCCAAAACGCAACACGTTTCGTTTTATCTATCGATTTGAGTGAGTCGTAGCAATGTTTTATTAATGCATCAAATCTACTTTTAATAATGATGACATTCCAACCGCTATCATCGTCATCAGTGTTATTGGTTTGCAATATCTTTCGAATGTCTTTCTCCAAACGATCGGCTTCATTGAATTGTACTCCCAGTAAGCAGGAAAGTTTTAGACTCGTCTCATCATCCATTTTGTTTAAAAAAAGAATAAAGTATTCGTTGCAAAACTTGTATGTCGTTTTTAACTATTCACCTTGATAAAGATAAGGACAATAGAACTAAAACCATTCGTTATCTTATGCAATATGCAATTATGACGTGTATGCGCCAAAACTTCCAACATGTGAGGGCTGGTGTAAGTAACAGCTACCATCATCTAGATTGCATCCTGGCATAAGTAAACTTATCAGATTCTTTAAAAGATGGGTGAGGGTGAGTTTATAAGAAAAGATTCAAAGCATCGCACGACGCATTTCGATTCTGGCTAAAGAGTCATTATCCGGTATATTTATAATCTTAGCTACATCAATTAATTCAACCTTAGTATTGAAATCTTGAGGGTGGCTGACTTCATAAGTGATAATTCCAAACTACTTACGACGATCGTTTCGAACCTTGCTTAACGGTTCATCATCAGGTAATGTTTGGAATTATATATACTCTACATATCGATCCAAAATTCTCAAAACAAATGCAAGATTTATGAAAGCTTCCGAAGAACTTCCAACTAATTGAACAAATGTTGAGAAATAAGGAACATAGTTGAGGGTGAGGGTGAGGGTGGGTAGGTGACGGTGAGAGTGTGAGTGTAGGTGAGATAGTTGTACTCACACCCTCAATCTCACCCACACCCACCCACATCCACACCCACCCACATCCACACCCACACCCTCAATAAAGAAAGTGGGTGTATGTGTGAATTTTGTATTCGCTGCTCGTTAGCATCTACGTCCACACTCGCCTCCTCACCTACACCCACACCCATCCACATCCTCAAATTGAATAAAATGTTCTTCTTGATAAAGTGATACAGCTGTACGAATATTTCTAATAGCTTGTACTGCATGCGAAATATTAAATAAATAATTTATAAATGTATTTCGAAATAAATTAAATATACTTTTCCTCCATAGTCAGCATTCGATATTGTTTCGTTCTTTTTTTTAGATGCCTTAGAAAGTGGATGGCCTTGAAAAGAACCGGTAAAAATCAACAATGGAGTAAAACGGATTAGTAGAGCTGCAATTAATGCTCCAATTGCATTGAAAAATGAAGTAAGTGTAGGTCCCGTAAATTCTTCAAGTGAAACTGCATCTGACGATAGCCGTATAATTAATATGCTTCTAAATTATTTTCATTCAAATCAAACCATCCAATTTCTTGTCGAAGTATACTGTTGAAAAATAATATTCTTATACGCATTATTAATTCTTCTCCTACTTTAGCTAGAGTAACTGATGATACAAACTGACTGATTGCATCAGCGATACCAATCAAGAAAATCCTAGAATATTGACAAACCAGCATAACTACTGCAAAATTGGCCTACAAGATCGAGATTTTTTGTTTGTATTCGCAGTTGTTTCAACATCATTTTTTAATTCACTAATAACTTCTAATGTAACTGATTCTACTGGAATAATAGATGAATGTCTCAATATATTTATCATTGATTTCTCAGCTAGATTAGTTAATTCTTCCTTATTTTTATTATCTAGATCACTATCGGCATCAGTTTCTTTATGTGTACAATATTCAACAACTTTTTCATGATCTAATCCAACAATTAGAATGACACTTTTGCTGCCAGATACAATACTCTTTATCGTAATTTTGTAGACATCACAGGATTTGTTATATTTCTGTATGTTATCGTTTCCTAACAATAAATTCTCATATTATTTAGAATGCATAAATGTCAACTTAATCTGATTAAAAGTATTAGAGACGAACTCTGTTATGTTAAAAAAACTTTTAACATTATTTCCAAAAAGCATGTATATTTCGTATGTCTCATTGCTACAATTTATACTACCAAATAATTTGAATATGAAAACATTTCTTTCATTTTATAGTTTTTTTTTATTCATAACATATGAATTTTATAATGAAAAATAAATGAAATGACCGTATTAATTAATAGTTTTAGAAAATAATTTCTTATTGGATGTTCTATGCTCACCAATCATATAACGATAGATGTCAGTTGGATCAATATGTTTATTTTTTTGTCTATCTATCATTATTGATTCATACCTTCAATATTTCTTCAGTAAAAAGTGAACAAGCAACAATTATAAAGTCGTTGGTTAGTCTATATATGTTTCATATCTGTAGTTAAATCTAATTTGATTTTTATCTCTCTATCATATAAAGTAAATAATTTTTGTTTTAAGAATTTCTTTCTAATATTTTCTTTCTAGATCAACATATTCTTGTAAATATGAGTGATTCAGGTGCTGCATCCAGTAGCACAAGTGCAGCTAAGTTAAATTCTTCTACAACATCAAATAAAAAACGTACTTCATCTGATGCTGGTCTTGATGAAACAAGTGAAGCAGATAGTCAAAATAATGGTAAACGTGTTGTAGTTTTTGAAGCATTTAAATTATTCGATGTACAATCTGCTGTAAGATATTTTGTTTTTGTAGAAATATGATTTAGAAAGATCTTTTTTTTAGGAAGAACTCGATGCAAAACTTTTGCTTATTCAAAATAAAAAATTATCTGAATGTGTTGCGAATTGTCGCAAACAAGAAATTGAATGGAAATCTAAAATCGATCAATTAGAAACAAATAAAGCTAGTGTTGATTGTAAATGGAGTATGATTGATCTTTATTGGACACAAGTAAAATTTTATCCCATATAAAAAAAAATGAAAAACAAAGTTTTCTATTTTTAATAATTCTAGTTAGATGAAAATATTCGTCGTTTACTTGAACGAGTTGATGCAACCACATCAACAGATGATGAAACAAATTCAAAGACAAATGTAAATAATGAACGACAAGGAGAAGAAATACGTTCATATATTCGTCAATTAAATACATGGTTACGTGAAGATCTTGATGCACATCTTAAACAACGTTTAGATTTTTCGACAAAAGCGATTGTTAAACTTGTACGAGTTTTTGATAAGTATGTGTTTTTCTTCTTCTTGTTTATCATCTTTTATTATTCATTCTATTAGTTTATCTGATAAATATCAACGATTATTTATTTCAATGAATTCTACCGGTGAATCAAATTCAACTCCTGGTAAAATATCTTTTTTTTTTGATATTGACATAGAATTAAATATTTATTATTCGATTTAGAATGTAAAAATGAAATATATAAATCTGTTTTGGAACGAAATTCTGATCTTGAACATGAAAATGAACGTATTCAACGATTAAATACAACTTTACAAGGTCGTATTCATGAAATAACACTTCGAGTAAGAATTTCATTTTTTTGATAAATTCATTTATTTTTTTCTCTAATTTTAACCTAGTGTACAGATTTAAATAATCAATTAGTACTTCAAGAAGAACAATTACTTGAGAGTAAAAGTCATTTATCTGATCTTGAATATGAATTAGAAAAATCTCGTAATAAAGAAACAAAATTAGAACGTTCATTAGCAGATGCTATTGCTAAATTAGAACGTGATCTATTAAAATCTCAAGTAAATGATATTAAACAAGATCAAGATTCGAATGCAACTAATTCAAATAATAGTACAGTCGTTATTACTGAAAATAAAGTAAATTTGTTTTTATCTATATAAAACATAATTATCTTTTTTTATAGTATGCTGATTTACAAGCTGAAATCGAAGAATATAAAGAATTAGCAGCAAGTCGTCTTACTGAATTAGAAAAATTGATGAGTGATCATGAAATAAGTAAACGTGAAGTAGAAATACTTAAAAATAAAGTAAATTAGATGAATTTTTCTCTCAAATTTAAATAAATTATTCGAAATTTATAGCTTCGGTCATTACCAGAAGAACTTATTAATGAAACACCGGAATTTAAATGTTTACAATCACGTTATACAGCTTTAGTTAATGAGAGTGTTCATCTTCGACATCAATTAGCTGAAGCACGAGAACTTGTTAAATGTACAAAAACAATATATGATCATCATTTTGAAAAAATTGAAGTAAAATTTTCTTTTTTTTTATTCGAAATAAACGAGATTATTTTCTTGTTCTTTTAGCAAGAAGAATTTGAAAATCAACGAAAATTACATGCAAATATTGAACAAGTTGTAGCAGATTTAGCTGATGCTCGTCGTGATTATGATCTTCTTCAAGTTGAATATGAAAAAGTTCTTATTGCTAATCAACAATCAGGTTTCTTTTTTTATTATTAATTATTTTATTTAGTTTTACAATCTTTTGATTTGTTTTTCATTATTCAGTACCGATTACACGTGAAATGCGAAGTTTAATCAATCATTTACAAGCACAATGTAAATTATATAATTTAGAAGCTAGTCGTTGTAAAAAACAATGTAAAGAATTAGAAGATGAATTAGCGAAACTTAAAGTAAAACAAGAAACAATTATAAGTAATGGTCTCAATACACAAATGAGTGTGACAACATCAGAACCTACATCTGCTAGTTCAATAATTACGACAAATCAACCACAATCGCCATTGAATAAAGACGAAATAACAAATCCTTTTGCAATGCCAACATCAACTGTTGTGAAAAATGAAATCATACCAAAAGAAGAATCAATGGAAGGGGTCTGTTTTATCATTTTTCCTCCTTTAGGCTTATATTTTTTTCTCTCTTTAGAATGATGATACTCGTTTGGTTGAAAATCCGCTATTAGATTTTGGTGATATACCCGAAGGTGATTTGGATGATAGTTCAACAGCAACTACTCTTTCACGTCTTTCATCGAATTCAGTAACAACAGAAGATAAAGATGCTGAATTACGTAATCTTAAGAATGAAAATAAAAAACTATCCGATATGGTTAAAGAATATAAAATCTTATTAACCATGTATAGGTAAACAGAATTAGAATTTTAAATAAAAAAAAAACTTTTTTTTCAAATCATTGTAGAGGTGTACCAAAAGAAACACGTGATAAAGCATGTTTAATGACATCTGAAAAGAAATTACGACAAGAACTTGAAGAAACTCGAAATGAACTTAAAAAAGTTCAAACTCATGCTAAAACATTAAAGAAAAAATGTAACGAAGATGAAGTAAGTTACTCCTTCAATACGTTTCTTATTTGTGATTGTTATTATTTTTGAGGTTCAAAATAAAACGCGTTCATATCAAGAAACCATTCGTGATCTTGAAAAAAATTTAGAAACACGTAAACAAGAAGAAGCAGCATTACTCAATGAAATTGAAGTAACAGGTCAAGCATTCGAAGATATGCAAGAACAAAATAGTCGTTTATTATCTCAATTACGTGAAAAAGATGATGCGCATATTAAACTTATGGTTGAACGTGTTAAATTACAACAATCACAAAAAGTTATGTCGGATGAAAAAACAGTTCTAGTTCAACAAACAAATGCTTTACAAGAACAACTTGATGCACAAGTAAATCAAAAAAAAAAATATTTTTTAAAATATTATCATTTTCTTTTCTAAAATAAAAGGTAATTATGAATCAAAAATATGAAGAAACAATTGCATTACTTCGTAATAGTGTATTGATACTTGAAAAAGAATTAAATATGATGCATCAAACATTAGATGCTCATAAACGAAAAACAATTGAAAGTGCACAAACATCAGCTGATCTTAAACTTCATCTTGATCGTTATCATGCACAATTGAAAGAAGTACAAGAATTAGTTGCTGAAAAATCCGAAGCACTTGAAAGACAAAATTTTAAAAATCGACGGTAAATCATAATAATAAGAAATCTTATGTTTAAAATTTTTCTTTTTTAATAGATTACAAGAAGAAGCAAAAAATCTCAATCGAAAACTAGAACGAATGCGTAAATTAGAAATGGCATCGAATAAAGATGAAGTCTTATTAGAAGAAATTCGTGAATATAAAGAAATTCTTCGTTGTCCAGCATGTAAAAATAAACAACGTGATGCAATACTTTCCAAATGTTTTCATGTTTTTTGTTATGATTGTCTTAAATCAAGATATGATTCACGTCAACGGAAATGTCCTAAATGTAATACAGCATTTGGTCAATCGGACATGCATAAAATTTGGTTGGTCTAAGTGTATAGTTTCTCATTTATTTACTTTCTTTCTTTCTTTTTTAATTTCTGTTTTTTTTCTTCTTCTCCTCCTCCTTCTTCTTCTTCTACGTCTTCGATCGATCATATATCATCAATTACTATTATTATTATTATTATCTTCGATCGAGATCTAACTGTTGTTCATTTTCTTTTCGTTGTTTCAATGTTTGTCTCTGTGGAAAAAATCAAACATATAAAATAAACGTGAAACGAAAGGATAATTATCATTTTAATAAATAAGAAAACTCATTCATTAGCGATATGCCCAAAAACTTATATCCGTCACAATCTCTTACTGAAAAAAGTTTCAAACAGAACACATCTATTTAATAACAATCCAATGCCAAATCAACGTCAACAGTAGTATCTTATTTAAAAATAAACTACTCAGCTTGATAAAAACGCAGTATCACAATATGAGCAGATGTAAAAATGTAGTTTCCTTTTCTAACAATGAGTTCTTAAGAAACAGCAATGAATCAGTTTTGTAAATAAGGATTCCAGACAAAATACCAGAAAGAAGAAAGTAAGGTTCTTGCAAAATAGTCTACAGCTGGTAGCTTAGAAAATATTGTTATACAATAAAAGAATTTTAGAACACATGTCGAATATTTCATTTCAATATTAACCGACAGAAAACGATTTAAAGTGAAGATGCACATGTAACGATGAGAAAATATTTAAGACGGTTAAGAACAATTTTATCAAAATAAAATCGACCCTCTCGATCATTTTTTTTTCGAATAGAGTAACTTGTTTTCATGAGAGAAAGATATCAATGTTTACCTCTTTTATAGATAAATGATTATCGATGTGAAATTTTCCAAATGATTCTTTACTAGTACCTTCTCTTTTTTTTCATACCATTTTCTTAGTCTTCCTTTGCTACTCTCTTCCGTTATCATATTGTACTCCAACATTATATGTGCTTTTATCGATGGATTGTTAGTGAAAAAATGCAAATTAATAAAAATGTTGTTATTTAAAGAGATTGTGTGATTATCAAGCGTTGTATGTAAATTGATTCTTAATAAGTGGTTCATGGTTATGCCACATATCTAGTCATATTTATGATCCTTGATTGTATTTAAAATTAGAAGAGACTAAAACTTATCAGAAAGTGTATTTGTTGGATTTTCTGGCGAAAGATCTAAGAAGTCAGGTTTACTTTAGAATTTACCATAGACTTTTAAAAATTCGATAACACGATAAACAGTTTTCCAAGTTTAGGAGGTGCTAGTCACCTCAACCCTGCTTTATTGGTTAATATCATTATACTCTTAAAAATATCACGACGTTTGATAATAACATAAATACTTTATGAAAACCTTAGATTGACTGATTCAAGTTCTAATATATATAAAACGTCCATTACATATAATCAATTGGAAAATAAGCGAAAAAATAGAGCACTAATTCATGAGTATGGCAAAAAGTATAGTTTTGTCTTAATTATAATATATATGATTCATATGAGGACACTCATATAACTTTTGCAAAAGACAAAATAGTTCGAGGAGTAAGCGTGAGGATGTTCATGTAAGTCTTGCTGTTGATGTGGGCAGGATTGCTTGATTTCGTTGATTTCTCCAAACGCAAAGATTACTACAAGGTGTAAAATACTACTCTATTATTATCTCTCGAAACTTCTTGAATTTTCAGTATATCTCATAATGTGCGTAAGGATAATATGACATCTCTGAATTGTTGTCAGTTTGATTGTGGTTTGTGGCTCGAAGTGATCATCAGATACATAAAACATGAGCTTAGATCTATTTGTTAAAGATAGAGAAATAAAAGTGTTCTTTTTCTATAAAAGGATCGGCGAATACCCAAGATTCGTATCTTATATTCAAATGCAGCTGTAAAATATTCGTTTTATGTTGCTCTTCTACTTCTACAAATACAATTACAACAGTTTTTATACACTCCGTTCGGATGCTATCTGTTAAAATAAAATCGTATCGTTTTTGCAGAGGGATTAGTGACGATTGTGTGACGTTAATTGTTATTTTTCTCATTATGAAAAATCGACCCTCGTAAAACAGCATACCCTTAGATACTCAGCTACCTGATTGTCGCAAAGAATATGAAAGAAAAGAGCAGACCGAGATAAAAAATAACATTGGATACGAAATACGAAAATAAAACTGTAAGGACATGTATGCAGCAGGGGTCGTCATGGGATGGGATGGGACGGACTTTTCATCCCACGGGAGGGTGCGACTCATCCCATCCCATCCCATGGGATTCACTGAAAAACAATATTCATCCCATTCCATCCCATGGGAAGGCCATACGATTAGGTAAAGAAGCGAAGGAATTTCTCCCTGCTAAATTTTATGTTGTATTAGTTTTCTTCCTAAAAATCTTTATGGACTGCTTTTTGGTACTATTCATAGCACCAATTTAAAGGATTTATGCTAAAGAGAAAACTTTCTTTTAAGTCTTTAAAGTGAAATGTATAGTTTCTTCATAAGAGAAAGAGAAATTTTCTAGAATTGACTAAAATTAATTGTTTTTGGTGTAGAAAAAGGCTTTCACTATAGTTTTCAAGAAGAGTTAGCCGTTCTTTTTACAAAGAGGAAACTTTCTCTGATCTGTAGACTATTTCTCTCTGAGCTTAAGATTTTCTTCCTGGTTTTGAGAGACTATCTCTCTGTTTTCTCCCTTTCTCCATCCTCCCTAATGAAACCAAACGAAAACTCTGATTATCAATATAAAATAAGTAATCATATACATAAATACAAAAATATAAATTAAACCCAAAGACAAATGATATTGAATAAATATTATAACAAAAGGCAATGAAATACTTTATAATATTAATCTGAAACCATTTAGATTGCTTTTTCTCTTTTTTCAATTTTATTAGTCCTTAATTAATCTGTCTGGTAATGTTTGGGGTAAAAATTATTAACCAATACAGAAAAGCGATGAATATATTACTTGAGTCTACCGATTGTCGAATGTGACCACTATGCAGAATGATATTTTTCTTAAAAAAAAGTAATTATATATTCCATGGGAGGCAAGACTCATCCCATCCCATCCCATGGGATATGTCAAAATAAAATGTCGTCCCATCCCATCCCATGACGACCCTTGGTATGCAGTGCATTCAGTGAAAGATTCACAACGAGATACTATAACTACGAATACTAGCTTAGTAGAAAGAATATATATTAAAATACATTAAGCTTCTAAAACAGTATCGATTCAACAGAAATGAAAACAATTGCTGTTATTGGTGGTGGATGGTACGGTTGTCATATTGCATTAAGTCTAAAACAGAAAGGACAATATTATGTAACATTATACGAAGCACAATCTGACATATTTCATGGTTGTTCCGGTAAATTTGGCATCCGATTACATGCTGGTCCACATTATCCTAGATCGAAAAAAACACGTGAAAGTTGCCAAAATCATTTCTATAATTTTCATGACATATATTCAGATCTATTAATCAAACATGAATACTCAGTATATGGTTTAGGAATTGAAGATGTTGATGAATATCCATCAAAAGTCACTGAATCACAATTTAAATTAGTTTGTAAAGAATGTGATCAATACCAAGAAATAGATATCAAAGAATGGAATTATCAGCATTTAATTTCTGCTTGTACTGTTTATGAACCAAGTATTGCAGTTGGAAAACGTTTACGTGAAAAGTTTAAAAAATATCTAAAAGAAGCTGATGTTAACCTAATATGTAATTACAAAGTACAAAAAATTGAGAAAATAAATAATAATAAACTTCAAATTAATACTGAGCACATCTTTGATCATGTAATTAACTGTACATATTATCAAGATTTAACCATAGATCCAATCTTACCATTTAATATTGAAGTAGTATATCAACCAAGTTTAGCTTTATACTATGAAGATAATGAAAAATCTTGTAAAGATGATGCTTTTGTGGAACTCACGTAAATTTTCGAAGAAAATAGTGAGTGTAAGTTTTAAGTTCAGACTTTCAAGCTCCCCTCCCCCCCCCCTAAAGCAATAAAAATACGCAAAAATCATTAGAAATAGCTATAAATTGCTAAAATTTTAATAGAAATACTGAAAAAGCGTTAAAATACCTATAGACTGCGAGGTTTTCTATAAAAAATAAGCAAAATGGTTAAATACAGCTATAAATTAGTAGAATTTTAATAAAAATAAGCAAAACTTAGTAAAAATAGCCATAAATTACTGCAAATTTAATTAAAATAACGAAAATGGTGAAAAATAGCTATAAGTTGCGCGCATTTTTATGAAAATAACGACAAATCGCTAAAAATAGCTGTATACTGCCGCAAATTTCATATAAATAACCAAAAATTGTCAGAAATAGCTATAAATTAATTGAATTTGAGTAGAAAAAGAAGACAAAGCACTTAAACATGATCAGATATTTCGATGCGAACATACGTGAGTTCCATATTTTTAGCCCCAACGGGGCTGCGCTGATAAGCTTTTTCATTTATTATCATGGATGGATGGTTTCCATGTATAATGCCACATGATGATCATATAGAAGGAGAAGAAAATACTAAACGAAAATATATAATGACACATGGAAAATATACAATTATGGGTTCATTTGAAACATATGATGAAGCAGTTGATTGTAAAAATAAATTAAATGATTCATTTGTAGCGAAAACAATCAAACCATTGTTTGAAAAAGATATGAATAAATATTGGCCAACATTTAAAAATAGATTCAAATACTTAGGATGGATAAGTACAATTGCAACAAAAGTGAAAACTGAAAAAGAATTTCGCAGTGCATTAACATGGGAAAAAGATGGCATGATTTATGTTCTTTCTGGAAAAATAAATAATATATTCGATGCTGAACAAGAAGTATTTTCTTTACTTAAACTAGAAAACATTCTTAAATGGGGAGGATATAATTATGTTAAAGATGGAGAGTTAGATAGATCAATAAATGAAGTTACTGAGAAACCACAACATAATGTTAGAAATACTTCTGAATTACAAGTGTATAATGAATTATGTTCGCAACATAAACATAATTAACAAGTGTTCACTGTATGTATCATTAAACGTTCTTTTTAATTATATTCTTTTTATTTTATTCACATTCGAAATTTCATGTCATGATAATAATAGTTGTTAGTTTTACTCTTTATAATAAAATAAATTTATGTTCAAATGTTAATACAGTTGTAAATTATTCTTGATAATTTTTGATGATATTGACAATCGACCCTAACTTTTCTGATACACATATTGCACCTATAGCAAACGGTTTTAAACAATTGATATGGTAATTACTAAAGAGTTTATTCATTTTACAGAGTTTCCACAGCTATTTGTCGTCATTATTTTTTAATAGAACATATTCCAAATAATTTCTTTTAATTGCTTTGCGTATATATATGAATGTCATCAATACATTCTATATCGGATATTTCCAAGACGCAGTAAATATATATAAAATATAGTAAGACACTACAGTTGACAAATATATTCTGAAGATTAAAAGAAAAAAAAATGTTTCCACTATAGTGTCGTAAACTATATATTAGTACATTCTTGAAATAATCGCTAAAAGTCTTAATATTAAATTACAGAAAGAATAAATTGACTCTAGAGAATGAATTGAGATTTTTATGTAAGTGACATAAAAAAGGTTAGTTATATTTATTCAAGGTATAAATTTTGATTAAATAAATATTATATACAAATAAAGGGATTTCACTACTAGAATGACTAGACACTAACATTATAAGATTTATTTACATTAATTTCTTTGTAATTTAAACTGACAACATAAATGCTTGTTTATTTTTTTTCTTATATTAAGATATAAATAAAAGCTCACTAGATGTCTATATTGTTAGACAGCGGGAAAAGAAGAAAAATGTTATAAAAAAAATACTTAAATCAATGGCAACAGACGGTACACTGAATAGATACCATTGACTAGAAAAATTTTCAAACTATATGTAAATGAGGAAGTTTTGTTTGAACTGGAATGAAACTTTAGTATGTTTCAATACACATAGCAATACCCAAACCACCACCAATACAAAGTGCAGCACATCCTCGTTTTAAACCTGTTCGTTTAAGTGTATGAATGAGTGTAACAAGTACTCGAGCACCTGAACCACCAAGAGGATGACCAAGAGCAATCGCACCACCATTCACATTAAGCTAAAATAAAATGAAAAACAAAAAAATATACTTTAAAATATGTTTAAAAAAAAGGCGAATTACTTTGTTTGCGTCAATACGAAGTTCTTTACTAACTGCTACTGATTGAGCAGCAAATGCTTCGTTTAATTCAAATAAATCTACGGTTTCAATATCCCATTTAGCTTTGCGTAGAGCCTCTTTAATTGCAGAAATTGGTGATAAACCCTAAATGAGAATAACAATTTCGTTATACATTCATTACTAGTGAAAATGAAAGATATACCATCATAAGTGGATCAATACCAGATTGTCCCCATGAGACAATTCTGGCTAGAGGGACTAGTTGTTTTGATTTGGCAATACGATTCGAACAAAGAACTAAAGCAGCAGCACCATCATTTATACCTGATGCATTGCCAGCAGTAACTGTTCCAGCTAACAAAAGAAAAATGACACTTAAAATATTTAAATTATCTTTCAAATAAAAAATATATACCTTCTTTGAATACTGTTTTCAATTTCGCAAGACCTTCTAATGTTGTTTGTTTGCGAGGATATTCATCATCACTAATTTGAGTATTAGCTTATAATTAAAAATAAAAAATGAAATATATATTAAATTCTATTTTTTTTGTAAATACAATGAGCAACATACTTTTTGATGTTGAAAGAACGATAGGTTCAATTTCTGCATCAAAATGTCGAAGAGACATAGCTTGTTCACATTTTTGTTGAGAGCTATAGGCAAATTCATCTTGTTCTTCTCGTGTAACAGCACTTGCATGAGCAACAGTTTCCGCTATATTATTAATAATAATATATGAGAGTATATATTATTATTTCAATTTACCTGTAATACCCATATGAACATGATTGAATGCATCTGTAAGACTAGAAATAAATTCATAATAGATGTTTCATTCAATAGTTTACTGTTATTCTTACCCATCATGTACCATCGAATCGATAAGTGTAGCATCACCCATCTTTTTACCATTTCTAAGTGGCATACAATGTGGTGCTTGACTCATACTTTCTTGTCCTCCAACTACTACAATACTTGCATCACCTGTTCGGATTGCTTGAGCACCTAAAACGACTGCTTTCATGCCTGAGCCACAAACCATATTAACTGTTGTTGCAGGTACAGCATAAGGTAAACCACCACCACGTGCAGCTTGTCGTGCTGGATTTTGACCTTCATTTGCAGTTAATACTTGACCCATAAATACTTCGCTTATTTCATCTGGTCGAATACTAGCACTTACTTTAGCCAGTGCACCTTTAATTGCCACAGCTCCGAGTTGATGACCTTTTAAACTTGATAAACATCCATTAAATGAGCCGATAGGTGTACGAACGGCAGATAATATAACAACATCGTCAAGATTATCATTAAATTCTGAAGCCATTATTCAAATGAAATAATAAATCTGAAAAAATAATTATAAAGTGTATCATATCAGACGATAAAAATTTTATTCTACGTTTAGTTTGATACGTTGAAATAATCAATGGGCTATAGTTAAGATTATAAGTAGTCAACCGTGGAAAACAAAAATACTGGGTACAAGCAGTGCAAATAAAGAAAGAAAAAAATGAATGCACGATTTCCATTATGGACACCTGTAATTATGTGAATTATATATTATATTACGATTTTGAAGAAAGACTAGGTGAGTTACATTACTTACTGATCAATATGCTACCACACAATTATATTATTTTATTTGCTGTAAATCTACTATTTACATACAACTTAACTAATTAGCCGTTCGTTATCATAGAACAAAGGACCATCTGTGACAAACCAATGAAAACCATGACGTGTTCGTTTCGTGCAAACAATCATTGAATTTCTTATCTTATTCATATATTATAATCAAAATTATGTCATTTTTTTTCTTAACAATTCTTCAAAGTTTCATAGTGATTTGCATATAAAGTATTTGCTTGTATTAAAACAAAAATTAAGCAACTACTGAAACATCTGAAAAGTAAAATTATTAGAAATGATACACCGATAACCGGATCTGTTGTCTATTGAAATAACGAAATAGAAATGTTCATTAACAATAAAAAAAGCAAAAAAAAATTTGAATAACAATAGTAATAATAATAATAATATTCACTGTTAATTGAGAAATATTAACGGAATGACTGTAAGATAAAGAAAAAAAATAAGTCAAAGACAAAACAATTGTTCTGTTCAGTTCGTTTATTTGCGTACAAACAATGTATCATCTTCGATTTCTTCTTCATCATCATCATTAGCATCGAAGAGCGGCTCTTCCATGGAACTTGGATCAGTAATTAATGTGTACCTTTTTGGTTGACGTTTTTTGCGTAAACTAAGATAATTAAATATTTTCTATGTATACAAAGAAAAATGGTCTTTTACTTACAGAAATGACTTTAAACCGACATACATTAAAATAATACAAGTAATAGCAACAACTACAATAGTACCACGCATTAATGTACCTCGATCCAGTCGTGCAAAAGCATCATGTATTACATTTTTACTTTGATCAATTCTATGTTTTATTGATGTTGGTATTATCGTACTATTTAAATTCATTGTCATGTTAATATTGGAAAGTGAATGATTCGTTGTCGTAATTGAAAAGTCTTCAACAGCCTGTGTTAAAGTTAGATAAAATAATACAGTAATAGTGAATGACACGTATAAATCATTAACCAATACCATTCTATAGAAAAGTATATCAACCAATCTATGTATAAAATAGAAACTAATCACAACAAAATATAAGAAATTTGCCCAGAGGACACGTGCTGCTGTATATAAATATGCCGATTTATTAATAGAGATAGATAGTAGCGCTAACATGTAGTAAGAATACATCTGTCATTCTATGACTAATACTAATTTTCATCGAAAGGGGGCACTATCTTTCATCAAATACTTTTCAATAGAAAGAATTATCTTCTCAGTATTTTGATCCTCATAACTTACTTTAATATATGAATTTCTTCATACAAATAACAGAAATATGTATATTTCATTATCAATAAATCCATTTCTCTTTTGTTTTTTTTTTGTCATCATAGTCAATGAAAATGTAAAAAAAAAAGAAACGAAACCTAATCGTTGTTGATGTTCAGTGAAATAGCATAAAATGTTTTTAAAACAGATTCAGTGGTATAGATCCACATACAAGCGATAAATTAATGAGTAAAGATACAAAAAGAAGAGAAAGAAAAAAAATCACGACTGTTTTAGCAAAATTCATTCAATACCCGCTGATGCATCACCTAAAAAGAAAAAGACGAATTTAGAATTTTAATTTACATCATTTTTTCTTCTATTTACCAGCACCACGTCGAAAATTCTTCTTAACTTCAGGTCGAGCCAATTGAAGACGTTTCAAAAATTCATTTGTCTTATGACGCATATGTGCATGTAAATATGCTTTACAACATTTAATATGATAATGAAAATAATTACGAAGTGTATGAATGAGATTAATTGTATTATCACGTGCTGCTGCTTTTGTATGACGTGGAAAAAGAACTAATAAAATATTTGATTGATATTTATTATTTATCTTTATGTGAATTAAAATGTATTCTTACCAAAAGTTAAATAACCAATATTATCACCTGTACGAGCATCAGGCATATCTTTTAATTCTTCCGGTGGTGTACGATAACTAACAATAACTTGAGGTGCTTGTTGAAATTGTCGTCGTCGTTCTTTAAATTCCTTAAAGTAAACAAATGATGATTAAGAAAAAGTTTTGAAAAACAATTAATTCTTACTTCCATAAAAACACGACCTATTATATTATCATCTGGATCTTTGAATACAGTTGAAAAAATAACAATAACACGATCAGCTGATGCATCAACATACATTGTTTCATCATCACGATAATGTATAACTGCTCGTTTATGATTTCCAGCTGTTATTTCTTGATTTGCTTGATATTCAAAATATTTTTCAAAAACAGCCGCAAAACAATTTCGTTTAAGCATAGCTATTTTACGAACAAGTGGTAACCAAACTTCATTACTATCACCTTTAGGTAATTGTGTATTAAAATTTAATGCTAATGTTACATTGTAACCTTCTAAAGGCGCTACAAGTAAATCACCATATTCTCGACGAAGAACCTAAATAAATATAATTATTTATAAGATATTTAAAAAAAACTATAGAACATACTTCATCAGTACCATGTTGTTCTAAATCACGAAAAAATTTTAATTTAATGCTAACAGTAAATGGTTTATCTCGTGAACTTGTTATATGATAAAGTGCACCATCGAAATCTAAAGTTGAATATTATTTTATTTTATCTTTGTATGTTTCAAAATTGCTTACCAACAACATCAGTTTTTAATTCAACTAATTTTTCTTTACGTAAAAATGTTTCAATTTGTAATGTTAGTAATTCTTCAATGATACGATTATGTACTTCAAGTAAAATCATTGTTTTGATCGAGTATTATACACACACACAATAATAAATGGAATATCTGAAATATTAAAATATCTTTTTAATTGATCATAACATTTACTGACGAATCCAATATTTAAATAATATCGGTTATAACAATGAGACAATGATTCATCCTTTCAGACAACTTTTTCTTTTTTTTGATTGATAAAGGTATTGCCAATAGAGGGCGACATATATCAACAATATATTATTTCTATGTTAAAAAATGAAAGAAAAACGACGCGCGTAATTATTAATCTCAAAATAATGACTAGTTCGGCAAAAGATGCTCTCGAACGTCTTCTATCAATGACAGCATTTTTCGAATCTGATGATGATCGTTTAACAATTAATATTTCCGGTACTCATTATGAAATCAATGTTTCTGATCTAATAAATTTTCCTGATACAATTCTTGGTGATCCATTAAAACGTATACGTTATCTTGTACCAGGTAAAAGTGATTATTTCTTTCCACGTCATGCAAGTTCATTTGAATCTATTCTATATTATTATATAAATGATGGTGTTCTCATTAAACCTGAAACTATTCCAGCAATGATATTCTATGAAGAAATACGATTTTTTCAATTAAATGATAAATTAATTCAAACATTTTATAATGATTATCTATCAATAAATGAAGAGGAGAAGAACACTGAATCAAATTCTTGGTGGAAAAAATCATTACATCATTCATCTACTTTAATTAATACTTTTTCTGCTGTATTTAATGCTCTCGCAATTTATTCTTTATGTTTAGAAACAATGAGTATCTATCGAAATGCTTATAACACCATGTGGATGATAACACATCCATCAAAACCTCTTAATCAAACAGAAGGTTTTAAATGTTCAGATATTAGTTTACGTCCTTATCAATTTATACCCTATTTCATGTCAGAAAATACAACATTAGAAATTATTTGTATAACATGGTTAGTTAACATGTTTTACGTATGTTGATCTGAATAATTGAATTTAGGTTTTATTTCGAATTATTTATTCGTACATTAACTACACCTTCATTTATTCATCTGATAAATGATCCAAATTTTGCATTAGATATTTTATCAATATTACCAACAATATTAAGTCAAATTATTTATCGATTTTATATTTTCGAAGAAAAAGAAACTCGATTATTTGATTATTTAACATGCTTAAAATTATTTCGTCTATTTCGTTTAACTCGTCATGCAAAATGTTTAGAAATATTTATAAAAATTTTATATATTAATTTTAAAGGTATTCTTATGTTAACAATATTAATTATATTTGGAATATTTTATTTTGGTTTAACACAATTTGTTCTTGAACAAATGTCACAAGAAAATGAAATTAAAAATATTGGTGAAGCACTATGGCATGTAAATAGATGAGATACAAAATATTAGATTTAGATATTTATTTTTAATTATTAGGGATTTACAGTTATTGTAACTATTGGTTATTCTGATATTGCTGAATATCAATTTTTATCTTATATATTTGCTATTGTCGGAGTTTGGTATGGTTCGATTTCCATGGCTATTATTTTACCGAGTGTTACTCAATCATTTAATATTTTTCATAATTTAAAAAATCGTCGACATGTAATTAAATATAAAACGAAATAACTAATTAACAGATTTAATTTATTTTTATTAAATTTATATACATTTAAGATAGTTCAAAACCGGCATTAGCTTTGATAGCATATCGCAGTTTATCCACAAGTATTCGACGTGTTTTATAACTGGGTAATCTATGAAGAGAAGAAAAAATGAAATGAAATTAAATCTATAAAACTCACTTTAATAAATTGAAACATGTTGAACTTGATGGAAGTCGTTCCGATGATGTTCGATTAATACTGATCATATTACGAAATATTCTTCCTAATGAATCACCTTCCTCCTAAAATTTTTCAAAAAAAGAATATATATATATATATTTAATTTGAGAGTTTCATTTCTACTTCATGTTCTGAACTTTCTAAACAACGAATTGTAAATGGTGGATTCAATGCACGAAATCCAAGTAATGGTGCACGACCTGAGCTTGTTACAAACTAATACAAAAACAAAATATGTTTACTTTAAATTCAAATCGATAACTCATACTCGAAGAAAAAGTGCTCTTTCTTCTCTTGTAAAATCTTGTTCAAGTGTTTGCCAAAGCCATTTAATAACTGGATGTGTACGATGATAACCACCTTGATAAACAACATTTGTCTTTAAATCTTCAAGATCAATATCAGATGATTCACCTGATATTAATTGTTGTAATTCTGGAACAGAAAACATATTAATCCATTCGGGTTTCATTAATGTTTTAAAACCATCAGTAAACATTTTTATTTGACTTTTAATTCGTGTATATGTTCGATAAACTGACATTCGATGGATATAAACAATTCTAAAACAAAAATTTATTATTAGAAACAAAAAACAAACGAAATTTGTTTTCCCTCATACTTATCATCACTTGTTACATTAATATGTCTTCCACATGGAATAATATCATATGTCATCAGCTCACCAAGTACATCTTCATCAATTGAATAAGTTAAAGCCAGTGATGATACATCACCATCATAATGCTTAATAAAATTTAGATTATTATAAAGATCTCTATCAAGAAACATTAAATCATCAAAACATGAATAATTAAGATTTTTTCGTGATATTAAATGACGTAAAAAGAATGGTGCTAATTCAATATCCAAAACAATTTGTTCATAAACAGCTTTGCCTAAGATTTTACCAATAAAATTAAAAAGATATAAATAATTTTCTGTTCGATCAGATATTGGAGATGGATATAATGTTCGATTTTCTGTTACCTAAAATAGAAAAAACAAATTCGAATAAAAAATATTGAAAATTCATCATACTTTAAAAAGATTAAATGCAGGATCAAATGCTTGTCGTGTTACATCTTGAATAAATTCTTTAAATATTCCATTTTGATCAATACCAGCTTCAGCAAGGCCTTGTTGATTAATAAAACTAATACGAATCGTATTTTTCCATGTACTCGATGAAGCACTTTGTAATGATCGAAAAGCATCCTATATTTGTTTTTTTGAAAATAGAATTTTGAATTTTTAATAGAAAAATATTTACACCAAATAGATTTGTTCGATGAATTTCATAATAATTTTTTGTATGATATCGTAATGATGAGATTTCATTACATTCTTTTTCTTTATCACGTTCGATAAACATTTGAAGAATTTTAACACGCTAAATAGATAGATAAGTTTACAAATGGTTAATCGGCTTTTTTTTCTTCTAAATACGTACATCTTTAAAAGTAAGAATATGAGGAATTTGTTCAAGAAGATAAAAAGCACATGAATCATCACGTTCAAGATCAGCCATAAATGATGATGATGATTTCACATCACTATTCAAAATATAAAGGGATCTCATATCTTTTATGAACAAATTACCGAATAAGCCAATGTGAATCAGGTGTAAATGATTTTCTTGAATTTCGTTCATGAAGTAAAATAAGAAGTTGATGAAGTGTTTTATATAACTGACTATTTTCGAGTTTTAATTTTGGGGATGTTGTTGTTGTTCGTGTAAATTCCACACGTATTAAACGATAAACAAATTGATTTAAAAATAAACAAAATTGTGACCAACTTTCAAGTTCTAAATATTTTTGTTCTTTATACATTTCTTCTTCGTCTAAAACTCTTTATTAACAAAGAAAAAGAATTAATAATATCAAACATTATCGAAATTTCCTTACGTAGCAAGATATAAACAGAAATTACAAAATAATTGAAGTAAATCTAATATTGGATGATGATCATCTTTATTCATTTCATAGATTTTTGTTAATTCTTTCAAACCACATGTAGGACCGGTATTATTTAAAAATTGCCATAAACTACTTATTAAACTATCTTGTAACGAAAGAGCTAAATGATTCAGAAAATATTAATTGAAAAAAATATATTTAAAAAGAAAAAAGTTTTACCACAAAGTATTTGTAATCTTAATTCAGTTAAAGTTTGAATTAATTTTTGATAAAATGTTGTTATACGACATATTGAATGTGTTAATTCATCGGTTGTTAATTTATCGACTGTAGTTTTTGAATGAAATAATTTTTCGAATTTAGCTCGAATTATATCTTCAGAAAAAAACCAAATTAGATCTTGACGAGAAGAAAAATGATTTACTTGTTTCTTTTTTTCCTGTTGATGATTGATTTCCTGATGATGATGTTGTTGGTATTGATTCAAATAACATATTAACAAATGATTTTGACCAAAGATATTTATATTGTGTAATAACACGTTGAACGATTTCTTGATGTGATCTGAAATGATATAGTTGAAAGAAGAAAATTATCCTTTAAAGTAAACATACACAATCATTGCATTTGTTTTTCCTCGAACATGACCAATAATTGGATGCCAAACAGTCGTCGTTTTTGTTTGTTTTCCACTTTGTACATCGACAGTTTGTCGTTGTCGACATACATCTAATATATTTAAGAGACTTTGAAAAAATGGTTGTTTCATTGCTTCGATTTGACTTGGATCAATACTGGCCAATGCAACAATATTTCCTATTTATATATATATAATTTATTTCTAAGTATAATAAATCAATATTTACCAAGCAGATAGCAGAGTTCTATAATATCAATATTTTCAGTTAAACTAACTAATGATTCTTGAACACCAAATATACAAATAAGATGATTGAATAAATCTTTTTGACAAACCATTTGAAATGTCTGAGAATTACAAAAGAAGATTTAATGAAAATAAAATTTTTTTTGTACTTTATGTGAAGTCTCATGACACATTGTTATAAAAGTTGGTATAGTTAGAATTGTTTGAGCAAATAAAATAATATGTATTCGATTGAAATCACTGCTTAGTAAAAGTCTACAAAAATAACAAAATAAAAATTAGGAAAAATGATTGAAATCTGTACTTAAAAACTAATGTAGCTATATTATTAATCATTGATGATTCTAAACGTCGTTGCATACAACGAATCATGGCAATCTTTAGAAAATAAATCAATTGATTAGTTAAATATGAAAAGAACATTTACTTTAAGAGATTTAAGAAGATTATGTTGACCAAGATAAATTATAAAACTATGATTGAGAGCAAGCATTGTTTTTAGAAGAAGTTCGTCTAAAAATATTCACAAGTCTTATGAAATAATAATACTAATCAATATAGAAACATACTGGAATTATTTTGTACAGCTTTCCAATTTTGACAATCAGTCATAAGATAAACATAATTTATACAACTCATTATTAATTGTATATCAATAGCTGTTGTTAAATCTGTAGTTTCAAGTATTTTAAGTACAATTATCAAAAGATCTTGATTAAATTTCATCCATTGACTATTGATTTCTTTATTGAAAAAAGCAGCCAAATAACTATACTAAATATGCAAATATCAAAAAAATCAATTAATTCCTACATTTTCTTTTATCTCTGACATACTTTAATATCATCTGCTTGTATACTTGTTGAAATATAATTTAATACACCTAATAATAACTAAATAAATAAATGAAATAATCTAAACATTCTATTTCAATGCATACTTGTTGTAATTCTAATGAATTATTTTTTAGTTTCATTCGATTATAATAGAGAAGAAAATGTTGTAAATTAGTGAACATAGTAGATGCTTTGAAAGAAAATATCACTCATTAGAAAAAAATAAATGAATATATGAAAAATATGTTACCAAGTTGTAAGGATGGATATTTTTGTGAATTTGAATCAGTAAAACCAAGAAATATTGAATTAAGTTCATTTCTAAATTTAATATGAAGATAAAGACTTTATTATGAAATTAAAATCATTACTTTCGATAATCTCGATATTTTTTTCTGACAAGATAACCTCGTACTATCTTTTGAATAATAATAACTGACTGTTGAATTTGTTTTTCACGACGTCGAGCGTCACGTGCCTCATCCAAATTATGTAAAAAATCATTTTTATTTGTATCTGTTTGCAGTTTTTTAGGAAACATTGTTCTTCTTTGAAACGCTTAGTCTTAATCTCTGAATTCAATCGATCGATCCATTTCATATGAGAAAATTTGATTGAATAATGAAAAACTCCAATAAATAACTTTCTTAGTGTGACATCTGTAGACATTGTATTCCTATATTAAAAAACAGTAGCGTAGAGCTCGAAAGTTGAATTCAACTATGAAGAATATAAATAAAACAAATTATTATTTCAGTTTAACTTCTTGTCTTTCTTTTTCTTATGCCTTTTATTTAAATAAAACCGGAAAACAAAACACTCTTAACAAATGAAAACGACTCATTCAACAAAATAAACTAAAACATTGCCAATATCTTGATCACCGATAACAAGTGTTCCATGTCGAGAATCAATTTGTAAAACTTGATTTTTATTTTGAAATTCTTCAAGACCTTGTAATGGTGTTGTTATATTTGGTAATGTTCGCGTATAAAATTCCCAATTTTGAAAATAAAATAATCGAATACTTTTATTTGCTTTTAATTGATGATCACCATGTCGTCTAAGACGTAATTCTAATTTTTCAATTGTATCACCTTTCATAACAGGTATCGAATATTCAAAATGAGATGAATATGGTTGACGATTAATAAAACGTATTGGAATTGTTTCTTCATGACGAAAATAAATTAATGGTTTACCAGGTAAAATATCTTCAAAATTAGTTAACATTAATTGATTATTTTCATTCTCATCAGCTGAACAAATATTAATTTCTTCTAAATTAAGTGTACGACGAAGATAATCTTGATTGATTCGTAAGATTTCAAATTCATCAAATGATAAATGTTGATCTAATGATTCAATATTACCACTTTTTTCAACTAATTCTTTCGAATAAATAACAAATGGCATTAATTTTTTCACATATTTTTTATCAATTTCTTTTCGATCTTTAAAATGACTTGATAATTGTTTATTATCAGGTAATGTTTTATTATTTGATGAATATAATTGTTTTAATTCATTAATAACAAATGTTTGCCATGATGGATATGATTTAGCAACATAGATTGTACCATGTGTTGGAGTTAAATGTGATTGAGATTTGATTTCTTTTGATTTTGGATTTGTTTGTTGTGTTGTATAAGATTTATAACGAAGACGAAAATCATGAGCAGTATCAGTTAAATAATTATATGAATCAATTAATGATTCATCAACTTCACCTGCAATTGGCCATTTTGCATTCATTATTGTTGTACCAGGATAAAGAAATTGATAAACATAATCACATATATGTGGACAAATAGGTGATAATAAAATTGTTTGAACTTCAATATATTTTTTCAATAAATGTAAATTCATTTTCTCCGATTCAGCACATGAATCTCGATAATTATCACGTGCAATTTGTAATTCAAAAAAGCCTGTTTTAATAACATCTTTAAATAACATTTTTTCATAATTTTCTTCTGTTAATTTTATAGCACGATTCATTCGTGATTCAAATACTTGATCATAATAAGTATAATTTTTATCAGTACGATAAGTTAATTTTTGATGTTCACTAAATTCTTCATTTGTTGAATCGGATGAAACATGTAATTTATGTTTAACCCAATTAATAACTGATGAAACAACAGTTGAATGATCTTCTGTTGAACTTTTTCTTGTTGTTGGTGATGAAGGATTTTCTGATGCAAGTTCATGTAAATTAATATCTAAAACTTCTTTAGCCCATTCAATAAATGTCGAAAGACGTAAAAGTTGTGCTTCAGCTACTTCTTCTTCAAAATTTGCGTCTTCAATTGAATCACCAGCATTAGCTAATGTTATACGCATAGCATCAGCTGAATATTTATCAATGGCTTGTGATAATGTTAAAAAATTACCAGTTGATTTGGACATTTTCTCACTATTCAATAATAATAATCCAGTTGCACAAAATGAACGTGGCCATAATTCTGGATTTTTTGGCCAAATAGCTGTATGATGATAGATGGAATAAGTAAGATGATTTGGAATTAAATCTTTGCCACTTGTACGTAAATTAACTGGATACCAATACTGAAATTCATTACGAAGATAATCAAGTGTTGCACGAGGAATATCTGTTGTTAATGATGAATAGGATTTTTCCTTAAAAAATATATAATCCCAAACTTCACTTGTTAATTGTGTTGGAAGAATATTTGCTGGACCTAATTTTTCACCATTAAATGAATCTCGTCCTTGTAAAAGATGTGCAACAGTATAATAAGCCATATAAATAGTTGAATCAGATAATGATTCAATAACATATTGTTTATCCCAAGGTAATTTTGTTCCAAGACCAAATGAACGTGAACATGCATATTCATGTAACCATTCGATAACACCTTGATATTGGTTACGTGCTTCATTATTATAAACATTCATTTGAGCTAATGCACGTTTTGTTTCTTCTTTCCATTCAGCATTTCCATAATCAAGAAACCATTGATCAACAAGTGCAACAACACATTCATCATTTGATCGAGATTTTACTTTTCCTTCTGGTTCTTGATAAATACATCCATCTCCATTCTTTATTAAATCATCTCGAACAAGTTTTTTTGCTTCTGATACTTTTGTATTGGCATATTTACCAACTAAAAGTATGCCTTCATAAAATGATTTCGTATAAATGATTTCTTTTGCTTTTACTAATTTATCTTGATCATTTTGTGATTGAATTTTCATTTCTTCACAAATTTTTTGTGCAGAAAGATTACCATAGGGGTCAAGTTGAATTATTGGTACTGGATCATATGGTAATACCATTGATTCTGTAATACCATATTTTTCACGTAAATTGACTTTATTTTTAAGATCAGTTAAAGCAGCAAAATCATCGGGTGAATCACTTGGGACTGATGTAACAACACCTGTACCTTTATCTTCTTTGATTGTCATCATAGGTAAAACATAAACTGTTTTATAATGTGAATATGGTGCATGTAATGGTAATCCAAATAATTCACTACCAACAAATTCAGCTAAAATTGTATATTGACCATAAGTATTTGTAAATTCTTGATAAGCCATATTATGAGCGGCACGTCGTGTACAAATAAGAATACCATGTAAACGTGTTTCAAATGCTATATAATTTATTTCTGGACCAATCCAACAATTTGTTTGTCCATACATTGTTTCTGGTCGAAGTGTAGCAGCAGCTAAATAAACACCTTGTGTTGTTGATGTTATATGAGATTTTAATTTTTCTGGTATATGATCATCATGAATACGTAATTTAATTAATGTATATTCTTGTGGACCAACACCTTCACCACTACTTCGATCATGATCCATACATGGTTGTTTATCTTTTGGTGAATAAATTGTATATCGTTTACCAAATTGAATTCGACCATCTTCTTTCAAATGATGAAATTGCCAACGAACAAATGAATCATAAAATGGATTAGCATCAGTTGTAATAAATGAACGACGCCAATCAACTTTTAAACCCATTAATTCAAGATCTTTCTTAACAACTGATGGAAAATAAGAAATCCAATGTTTTGGATCAGCAAATTTACGAATTTCTTCATCATCATCCATTCCGATACTACGCATGATTTGCCATTGATATTTATCACCAGTACTCTTTGCTGCTGCTTTACTCTATCCAAAAATAAGTCATTTTATTCTTCATATATATTATCAAAAAATAACAAAACTTACTTTCTTGCTCTTAAATTTACTATCAACTTTACTACTTTCACTTTCTTTTGATTTTGCTAATTTTTCTTTTTCTCTTTCGACATCTTCACTTGTTGTCTCAGGAAATTTGGGTGGAAAACCAAAGTCTTCCATTTCACGTTTTAGTTTTTCTGCAGAAGCCTTTTATAATTAATATACAAGATTAATCAAAAAAATATTCTTATTTATAAAAACTTACTTGAATAGGCATACCAGTACAATGAAATCCAAATGGAAATAAACAATGTTTACCACGTAAACGTTGATAACCAACAGAAAACTAAAAGAAATAAAGAAAATAAGTATGAAACATCAATATTCAATGTCAAACCTCGCATCGAGATAATGAAAATGTATGACCTAAATGAAGACGACCATTCATATATGGATATGGAAATGTTGCCAAAAATGTATTTGAACTAGAATAAGAACACATCACATATATATAATAAAAATCAATGAATAAAATCTTACTTATCAGTAGAATGACTTGGTGCATCAGCTTCAAATATTTTCATATCGGCCCATAATTTTTGCATGTGTTTTTCTATTTCACGCATTGTATCCAGTTTAACTGTTGAGCGTTTTTCACCAACCACTGCTGCTGTTGCAGCTGCAGTTGTCTTTGCTGTTGCCATATTTTCAAACTGAATTTGATTTTATGATCTACAATATATATATATATATACAATAATTATTACATCATTTTACATAAGAAAAAACAGTAATTTTAAAAGCTAATGTAATATAAGCAATTAAGTAAAAATTTGCTGATGAAATCATGGAATATAAGATTTAGGCAGCCTATCATAAGCAGTTTAGTTCGAGAAAGAACGAACACGAAGGCAGACTGGCAGGCAATAGTAATTTTGAAAATCTATTGGCATGAGAGTTCGATAGAGGTCGTTTCTATACAGTACAATTTTATTATTTCATACTCACAACGATTAAATGAAAACTACAGAATAAGGTGGTGAGTATCATTTTGAAGAAGTTTCTTTTCATGTATGTTAGAGAAATGATGCTCTGTTTTCTATACTATGTGATTGCTCTTCAACGAATATCATAATAACAATAATAAAACTTCATTAGTAATGAGTGAAGCAAACTCATGATTATAATTTACATTTCAATTTTCAGTCATTTAATACATCCTATTAAAAAATACCACAAGATAGAACATGAGAAGTTGTACTAAAGTAATACTCAACCGTTTATCTTATAACTGTACTCTTTGTTTTGTAAATTTACAGAATTAAATATACAATAATGATCAGTTATATCACCAATAAATTTTACACGAATTTGTTAACATGTAACTATAAATGAAACTAAATAAAAGAATAGTATTTATTGTCTCGTAGAAACATTTACCACTTTTGTTTTCGCTTATCTAAAAATGACGAAGATATTAATCAGTGCGTGTTACATATCGATTTGATATAACTATTTTGAACTTAAAGTCATGGATTCAAAAGACGAACATCTTTATAAAATAAAAAGAAAACATCTCTTGGTAGATAATCTTGTTCAACTATTATCTTTTCGGTAAGATTAAATAAATGTTCTCAGTACAATAAAAGCTAGTCAATTCTTATTAAATTTCTAGAATGGTTACAGTCAAGATGAAATGTTTGAATATTCCAATTATGATATTGATTAAACATATACGAAATATTTCATTTGAAGTATTTTTATATTAATTTGTTCATGATCAATAGAATAAACATTAGTTCATTGTTAATTTAAACTTGTATTGTCGGATTCAATCATTTGTTATACACAATTATACTTTCAGCTTTCTCCTCATTAATATTCGGATTACTTTAAATCAAATATTATTTTAGCTATGAAATAACACAAAGTACATTCACATGATACTCATTTTTATTAGTTATTTTCAACAGTGTCACATGTCTCAAATTTTGAAGATGCCACTGCGTCTCTCCACTATTCAAGCTTAGATAATAAATTGAATTTTCAAATATTTTAAACGTAAAAAGTTGAGGATGACGATGTGTAACAGAGCAGATTTTACGTTTAACATTATTAATTAGTTGAAATGAAAAAATGAATTTATTAAAACACTAAATCACAATAAAATATTTGATCTAAGAAAAACTAAAAGTTTATCTAAAAATATTATTTTACTTGACAATAGTTTATTTCAAGTCTAAAAAACTAAATATAAGTCATACAGTTGAGTAATGTGTCTAATTATTATCGAATTTTCTCTTCATGGATAATACAATTCGACACTCTTCAGAGGATTTCTATAAGAGCCGCCTATCACTAATAAATTTCCATCCAATAATGTAACCACGGCAGCCTCACTTCGTGAATATGTCATGCGTGCAGCGGGCGTCCAACTTCTGTATGATGGATCATACAATTCAGCAGTATCTAATCCACCAGCTTTGTTTCTTCCGCCAACTACTAAGACTTTGCCATCTGATAATACAGTTGCTGTATGAGACATTCGAGAGGTCGTCATATTAGCAACATTTGTCCATTTTCTTGATAATGGATCATATAATTCAGCAGTATTATGTGTTACAGATCCATCTTGTCCACCTGCCACTAAGACTTTGCCGTCTAATAAAACAGATGCTGTATGATCCGTTCGAGCACTAGACATATTGCCAACATTTGTCCATTTTCTTGATGATGGATCGTATATCTCAGCAGTATTTCCAGCAGTAAAATAATCGATGTCGCCACCAACTATTAACACTTTACCGTCTGATAATAGAGATGCTGTGTGCTGTTCTCGACGAGAACTTATATTACCAGCATCTGTCCAATTGTTTGATAATGGATCATATAATTCAGCAGTATTTAACAGACCAGTCCTACTTCTTCCACCAACTACCAAGACTTTACCATCTGTTAACACAGATGCTGTATGATACTTTCGAGAAGCAGTCATATTAGCAACATTTGTCCATTTTTTTGATAATGAATCATATAGTTCAGTACTATTCATAACTTCATAATATACAGTAGCGCCTCCAATCACTAGTACTGTGCCATTCGATAATACAGATGTTGTATGATATTGTCGAGCACTATTCATATCAGTAACACTTGTCCAGTTTCCTGATAATGGATCGTATAATTCAGTATTATTGATTCCATAATTTCCTTCAGTTCCACCAACCACTAACACTTGACCGGTCAATAGTCTGGATGCTATAGGTTGTTTTCGAGCAGTTTTCATGCTATTAACAGTTGACCATCCTATAACGAAATTAGATTTTCTATCAATAATATAAAATATTTATATAAATATCACATCACCACATAAAAAGGTTAATTATTATCGAAGATACTATTAGGAATAACAAATTTTACCATTCAACTAGCATCACATTTGAAAAATGTTCACTAAGATATATTTTATTGTCAATTATTATTACGAAATAGAAAGAATCAAAGAAAATTAAGTTCTAAAAATATTATACACTCCTTATTCTAGGAAACTATTCGAGATGATTCAATAGTTTTCGATGTAATTGAAACCGACTGATTGTGTGCTGCTCATGCCATATTTCAATACTAACCTATTGATCTGCCAATAATGAATTATTGGTAAATTCATGTTCTACTAATCGGATTAGGATTCATTTACATCGGTGAAGTTAGCAGCAATGTGCTCAGGAAGCTGTTCTAAGTAGAAATCGATGAGCCCTAGCCAATAGTATAATCAAGCTTTTCATAGTTTTAACTATGGTCCCAAAAATCCAAAAATTCTGTTTTGTCTTAAACAAATCACTTGATCAAGGATGTTTAGTGCTCATATACAATATAACAAACAGAATAAACACGTTTCTACTTACAACTACCCAGTCGTACTAACTGTAGTAATCATTTGCTCAATACGTGAGTTCATAATATACCAAATCTGTAAAACTCAAAACTTTTTCTTAAGAACCAAATCATATGATACTAAGATCCTATTTATAGTGCTACTCAATAGAACTGATGATCACATCGAAATATTCAAAATAAATGTTGTTCCATGTTTATAACTGATGTAACTTACGTGGCACGAAAGAATCAATAAATGTATCACTTGTATCTAAACATTCATTCAACTTCGTCGTTGATCTATTAAATGTTCGACTCATTGTTTCCATTGCTTGTCGAAAACGACGTATTTCTATTGTTACTGTTATTGGTGATTTATCAGTGCCATTCAATAGACTACCTGTACTAAAACAAATCTTATACGATCCCTTTGGTGGCATTCTGTTTGATGGCCAATAAATGTTATCAACTTGATTTCCATTACCAACTTGTTCATGTTGACCTTGATCAACAGATGATTTATTACGAGAACTACCAAAATAGATAGTATGGTTAAGTGGTGTACGAACAATAATGTAACCTCGACCATTTGAACGAGTCCAATGAGCGGTGAAACTCAAACGACCTCGTTGAATACACATGTTTTGAACACATGCTTCATTCATTGTACATGTTTTTGATCCACATAAGAGAACTGCAGTGTAGTTATTGTTTTTTGTATCGAATGTAATAGACATATTTGGTAGCACAGCGTATGGCTCTTGAAAAGAATATTGGATAAATGGACCTGTGTTTGAACCTAGATGAAAAGTGAATAGTACTGAGTAGGCACACATAAATTCATATAGAATTATACCTTGTATACCAACAACAGCACCTTTGGCACCATCCGGTACAGCCAGATAAATGAACTGAAGAGTGCCTGGATTTGCTTCAAAGTGAAATACTTGAAAATGACAGTTCTGCTGCTCTAATTTAGAAACAGTTGTGTAGTATTCAAAAGCAATTGTTCGATTAGGTGCCTCGCCATTAATACTATAATACAACCCTTGTGATGTTCCATTTTGAATAAACATTATGTCCCAGTATGGAAAAGCTGTTGCATAAAAGTTGCCCTTGAAAGGTAAGGCTTGTTGTTGATAATGATTCATGTAGTTTCGAAGAGATAACATCTATTTGACAGAATATGATGTATTATGCAATTAGTATTAGTAGAATAAATGAGTTGAAACAATTTGAGAGATGTTTTGTATAGAATGAATGAAAAATGCAAAGTTCAAAGAATGATGAACAGCCAAGATCTATTTAACTAATTTAAATTCTCACCGAGAAATTCATAAAAAATGTTTCACAAGTGTATAAATGTAAGATTTGTATTATTTTTTCCATTCAACTAAAACAGGCTTTATTTTCATTGTTTTATGTGGGTATACAGTGTGTCTTAAAAGTCCTTTCTTAAACTTTTTTCATATATCTTCACTATGACTTCACTTCACATCGACTTGTTCTCTTAAATGATAGAAGAATCTCTATACCTCAATGCATTAATACATAGTATTTTCTTTCAAAGAAAGGATCAGCGACTCCAAACGATGAGCGCTACCGTGTTTTCTTATTAATGTAAATTGAACAATAGACGTTAATATAAGTTCGAGTGTTTGTAATATTCATTGAAATATTTGTTAATGAATCGAACAATTCGAAACTAATTCAGACAGTTGTTTTTAGATCTGAGACATAGAAAGAAATAAGTTTCTAGTTAAAGTAAACATGATAAGAATTGGTGACTGAATTAAAATTCAATACTATTTATTACATACTATACTAACTAGTCGCAAATACTGCTTCATTCTTACCTAAGAATCAGAAGTTGATGACTGAAGCTCAATCTCTCAACTATTGTAGACAGTTTTTCTTCTTGTTCCTGTCTATAAGTATCGTTATATACTTGAAATGAGTTCTTTTTTGTGTACTAGAAAAGTATCCTCGTTACTTAGTTATTGAATATATTCATTGAGTCTACTTTTTTTTCATTACTCAGTATCAGAGGTTATGTGAGTTTTATATGAGATAGTAACATAACTTATACTAAGATTGCACTGCGATGAAGAGTATTGCAGAAGAATAAAAAATACTGTCCTAGGTGTCTCTTGTAAATGTCAAGATTAAGGCCAAAGACTCACCCCATATAAATCTAGGTAAACTGTATCACCCGTATCATTATACAAAGTAATGTTAAATGGTAAAGAAACAAAGACTGTTTTGCTATCCACTGTTCCATTGATAGCGCCTTGTATAAGTGTTTTTGGTTCAGTTAGTTGAATCGCACGTGCCATGCCGCATACACCACCAGAACAACTATTGTAAGTATTATTACACTTACGACCGACTTTTCCACAGTTGTTTCGATCGATTAAGATATTAACACAAGTTGCCGTAGGTGCTACAGCGTACGGCCATTCGCAAATAACTACAAGTAGAAATTTTTATCTAGATGTGAGTAACGACCGTTCATCAATATAGATAGCGATTTAAACTTTCAATTGTTTCTGAATATGAAAAACTTTAAGTCAAATTTAAAGAGGTTCTTTTAAAGGTGGTTACTGTTAATATGAATTACTATTAGAACTTAATGAAGAACATCCTTCAATCATAGATAAAATCAATAATGGTTAGAATCCTTGACGTACTATAATTTCATCAACTTTAGCTCACACTACTCATAAATATTTCTATTACATGAAACAATCTGTTATTCTTAAGAAATATAATTCGATTTCGATGACATGTCGTCAGTTGACAATGCATGTTATCAAAAACATACCTGATGAATATGATCCAATAAATGTATCACTTGTTTCCAAACATTCAGTCACATTTGTCGTCGATCTATTAAACGTTCGAGTCATTGTTTCCATTAGTCGTCGAACGCGTCGTATTTCTATTGTTACTGTTATTGGTGATTTATCAGTGCCATTCAATAGACTACCTGTACTAAAACAAATTTTGAAAAATCTTTTTGGCAACATTCTATTTGATGGCCAATAAATGTTATCAACTTGATTTCCATCACCAACTTGTTCATGTTGACCTTGATCAACAGATGATTTATTACGAGAATTGCCAAAATAGATAGTATTATTAAGTGGTGTTCGAACAATAATGTAACCTTGACCTTTTCTCTGAGACCAACGGGCAGTAAAACTGAGTTCACCTTGTTGAATACACATATTTTGCACACATGCTTCACCTATTAGACATGCTGCTGATCCACAAATGATTGCAGTAGTATATATATTTTGATTGGTATCAAATATAATAGACATATTTCGTAGCATAAAAAATGGTTGGCTAGAAGAATACTTGAGATCAGTTATGTCCGATTCTAAATCTAGATAATACATTAATTTATCGAACAAAAGTTTATTGATTGATAGATATGTATATAGATTTACTTTGTACACCAATTTCATCAGAATCGTCAGTATCAGGCACATTTAAATAGATGAATTGAATAAGACCAGGATTAGATTCGAACAATAAAATTTGAAAGTGACAATTTTGTTCTTTCTCTTCTACATAAATAGTCGAATTATATTCAAAGACAAGAGTTCGATCAGGCGTATGACCATAAATATCATATGAGATTTTTAGGTTTCTTTGCCTATAATAAATAAAGTTGCATCGAGCTGGAGAAGCTTTTATAGCAGTGAATTTATCGCGATCGCTCCAATGGACAGAATCAGCTTCTTCACACTGTCCGAAACAGAAAGTCTATTGAAGAGAAAATAAATGATAAGAATAAAAACAATCAATTGATTTCATCTTGCAAAGAAACATTTCTGATTATCAAATCATTTTCTGTTTGAGACTATTGTTCTTTATCAGTCTTAGTCATAATTGAAAAGTCTATTTTAATTTGATATTTTACTCTTTCCTTGTCGATCTATGAGTTGAAACAAGCGCATTTTCACAGGGGCGGTGTAGCTTAAAATTTCTTGAGTTTTTAGTAACGGACTATGAGTATATAATCTATTTCTCACCCACACTTTCAAAATTTGCTGAGTTTATCAAATTCAAAATCTGTCTTATGACGACTAAGTTAAAGACAAAAGACTTACTCCATCTTCCTTTATAGAGACAGTATTTGTCGTTTTGTTGTATAGAGTGATGTTTAACGGAAAAGTAGCATGATAAGATTTAGAAATTAATGTAGAGTTAATAGCTCCTTGCCAAATTATTGTTGACTGATTCAGTTTGGAAGTAGATACCATTCGACAGACGCCATCAGAACAGATGTTAGAAGTGGTATTGCACTTGTGATCGGCCATGCCACAGTTATTTTGGTCATTCAATAAATTTGCACAGATTCCCGATGATGTTAAAGCGAAAGGCCACATACAAATCACTGTAAATAAAAATTATTCAGAAATTTTTCCTACAAATTGATCGAGAAATTCTTCTGTTTTGAAGAATAAATTAGTAAACACACAACTCATTGATTTGCTAATAGAATTATATTGAACTGTAAGATATTTTTTTTGTACAGCTATTGATTAGTTCTTAAGAAACTATTAATGAAAATCTATCGTTTTTCAGTTCCAAAATGAAAATATTTTCATACGAAAATAATAAACGACTCAACTATTACAAACTTTAAAAAAGGAAAAGTCAGTTCATCAGTTAGATTAGTTCTATATCAAATATAATTGACATTCTCACGAGTATGAACGTCTATCTCTGATTGTTAAATACGTATAATTACAGTTTTATTAATAAAGGATGTTTATCAATAATTATTAAAGATTTCATTAGTATAGTTCAACAAAATAAAAGCGGTGTTTACACTGCAAATACATGATTATACAGTCAAATTAAGTCTCAACACGATTAACAAATTATTTTATTTTATTCATATAGGACAACAGTCCCAAGCGAAAAATCTAATTTTTTCCCTCAATAGATAGAAATATCGCATGATTATTCTATAGCGTGATTTGTCTCTTCGTCAAGGTGCTTAAGAGACGGTTACTATTTCAGAACATCTCTGTTTAGCAATGATATCGTTACGGTAAATACTATTGGGATTCTAAAGAAAACATGAAAACATACCTGATGAATATGATCTAATAAATGTATCACTTGTATCTAAACATGCATTTAGCTTCGTCGTTGATCTATTAAACGTTCGACTCATTGTTTCCATTCGTTGTCGAAAACGTCGTATTTCTATTGTTACTGTTACTGGTGATTTATCAGTGCCATTCAATAGACTACCTGTACTAAAACAAATCTTGTACGATCCCTTTGGTGGCATTCTATTCAATGGCCAATAAATGTTATCAACTTGATTTCCATTACCAACTTGTTCATGTTGACCTTGATCAATAGATGATTTATTACGAGAGCTACCAAAATAGATAGTATGGTTAAGTGGTGTTCGAACAATAATGTAACCTCGACCTTTTCTCTGAGGCCAATGAGCGGTGAAACTCAAACGACCTCGTTGAATACACATGTTTTGAACACATGCTTCATTCATTGTACATGTTTTTGATCCACATAAGAGAACTGCAGTGTAGTTATTGTTTTTTGTATCGAATGTGATAGACATATTTGACATTATGGCGTGTGGTTCTCGAAAAGAGTATTGCATAAATAGACCAGTGATTAAATCTAAAGAAGAAATTAATGATATGATAATCATTCATACACACTGTTACTTTGCACGCCAACAGCAGGATAACTACCAATATCAGGTACATTAAGATAGATGAATTGAACAATATTAGGTCTATTTTCGAAAAATAATACTTGAAAGTGACAGATCTGATGTTTTGATAGAACAAGTGTTGCATAGTATTCAAAAGCAAGAGTTCGATTAGGTGTCTTGCCAGAAACTTTATAATAGATTCCTTGAGATGTTCCATTACGGATAATCAAATCGTCAACGAATGGAAATGCTGTTACGCCAGAGAATCCCTTCATGTTGGGTAAGATTGATTCCGAATATTTATATGAACATTTTCCAAGACAGAGAGCCTATTGAAGGGAAGACGATATATAATGTAGATAATAACAATAATAATAGAGAGAATCAACTGAATTCATCTTGGAAAAGTTGTATATATGATGCATAACGAAATAGGATCGTCCATGAAAAATAAAGACTTCAAATAATATATTCATACACTTCATGACATATTATGTAAAATAAAATTGAATTATCATAAGAATTAGCTGAAAAGCTATCGCAGACTAGATTTCAGTTTAAAATCTCGATTCGTAAAAATAAATATCCGTATCTAGCTTGAAGATTTCTATTCATAGAATCGGTGAAAAAATCACCGTTTCTATCGAGAAACTCTAGAAAATCATTTGCAATTAGAAGCGGAATTGTCGATCGGGAAATTTGAGGATGTTTCCTGTTGAGTTCTGACCATTTTTGCCAGAAAAGATAAGGATTTGGTTGAAAGACACTCGACTAATCCAAGAATAAGTAAAGTGACGAAGTACTTCACTTGTTAAAATGAAGTAGAGAGATGCGACAATTTTTCTATTTGTTGATTATTAAAAGATTGAGATCAAATTATTAGATGAACTTAATGCATTACATCATTTGAAACGAACCATTTAAGCATTATGTTCATTATAGGAAAATATTATCTAATAGAAATAACTCAAAAATGATCAAAAGGGAATTATAAGCTTGATCTGAATCAATATTTTCCCTTTTTATACGATATTTGTGAAGATAGAAAGACTTACTCCACTTGGTGTCACAATAACATAATTTGTTTTTATATCATATAAAGTTATGTTGAGTGGTAAATTAACATCAAATTCACCATAATATTTTGATCCGTTGAGAGCTCCTTGATAAATGATTTTTGGTTCGATTAGCTGAATAGCAGGTGCCACACTACATACACCACCCGAACAACTTTTATAAGTAGCATTACATTTGTGGCTGATCTTGCCACAGTTGTTTCGATCGATTAAGATGTTAACACAGTTTTCCGACGGTGTTTTAGCAAACGGCCATACACAAGTCACTAAGAATAGATATTTTTACATACAAACATGCAAACAGAATATTTAGAAATATGCTTAACAAATTAACTTTCTAATTTTTTATCAATTTAAGCACATGTGAATTGTTGTTAAATCAAATGTGAAATTAAGTTGCTTTGACAGTGAGCATTTTTTCGAATAATAAAATTGATTATATGTTTTATACATTGATATTGTATTCAGATGGATATTATTGAGCATATGAGGAATTCATTATAGGAACATTTAATACATACGTTTGAAAAGCATCGTGAGGATGTGGGCGGATGTCAGTAGTGAACATCAAACCAAGCTCACACCTACACCCTCAAGAAGTATAATCATTTTTATCTGATATTCTCTAATTATGACAATTGGAAACATGACGATATTCTTACCGTTTTCTTTCTTGAAAGTTTTATCCATATGGTCATCATTCTTTTTTTTACTTTGAGCACCGAGTTTTGCAGACTTGACCTGGAATGGATTTATCTCAAGGTTAAAGTTTCAAAAAATGATTTGGAACAAGAAAAAAACCCTATCCCAGTGGATAATTGGCATAAAATAAAATGCAGCACTTTTTAGAACATTAAATAATTCTGAAAAGCGTATCAGAATTCCATCATCTCGATAGTTCTTCCGATCATTATTTTCTCTACTAATACTTACCTCAAGACCAGTACCATTGTTCATAAATTTAGATTCTGATTGTTCAGCAACAGTTCTTACGATAAGAATTAATAATATCCACCAAACATCCATTCTGAAATGAATTTCTAAAGAATATGAGTACAAAATCATCCAAAAGCCAAGCAATCAAATATTATTGTTACGCCTTAAGCAAATGAGCTGACTCTTTTTTACCGATAATAGAGGCATACATAAAGATACACGTTGTTAACTATTTTATTTTTTCCTATCCATGAGAAAGTAAAATTTTCTAGTTAATATCAATAATGATATCTGGCAAAAAAGTTCTCAGTAACTTTATTCGTATAGATTTGAAGTGTGAACATGTCTCTATCTTTAGTAAAAAGATGAGTCCGTTTGCTTGAATTTCGATAGAGATATTTACTTACTTCTTGATTGCCTGACTTTTGAGTAAAAATGTATAAAGTTTGGACGTATTGAGAGAATTTCTGAATACGTCGATGATATAAATAGAAACTCTCTAAAGAGACATGCTAACTGTATAATCTAGAAAAAAAATGTTTTTTTTATGGTATAACATTATAGATATGTCTTTAGACATAGCTACGAGTTACCAATTTGGTCAGAGCCATACTATACAATCTAGAGCAAAAATAAAATAATATTACAAAGAATAAGAAAAGAAGGATGAAAGAGAAAAGCAATTTATATATAGATGAATCACATTGTTATCGTATTATTCTGCTTTTTGATACCTTATGCCATAGCTTGGTTTTATTTTTCTCTTCGTACAACTCTAATATGTCCCAAAAGAATATTTTCTTCTTCCTCTGTGTATAGTATATATCACATATGAAGTTAAGCACATAGATTGTCTGATACATGTTCTACGTGAAAATTATTTTCTTTTTTTTCTTCCCGTATTATACGCTGTCCATGTTCTTAACAAGAGCAGATTTTTTAGGCGCTTCTGCAATTTCTTTTTTTATTAAATCACTTTTCATAGTTAATGAGTCCTTTTTATGTATGATAAAAAATCACATAAGTAAAGTTGATTTTTCTAATCTTAGATCTCTTTCTCATTACACTATTCGAGTGAATGTCTTTGAACTAAAATTATATTATATTTTTTCATTATAGAATTCTCATTAGAAAAAATGACTACACTCTACAGAAATCTGTAGAAAATAAAAACGTTCTGCGAAGGATCTATGACGATCAAAAACCGAAAAAGCGTATATTTGGCATATTCTATAGAGTTTATGAGAATGTGCACAAATAGAAATACAGGTCTATTATTCTACTTCTCTTGTTACAACACACACTCGCATCCTAATTAATAGACTAAAAACAATTTTTTCGTTTTAATTCAAGTAATATCAGCACTTAAATAAAAATGGATGTCACTGATGAAATGATTAAGATTTGCGTATTATTCATTTTTTCGTTCTGATTTATTGTGTAACTACGGTTGTGAAGAAGAAAAACAATGCATTTTTATAACTTCAGCACATTGATTGAGTTTTAATGGAATTTTCTTGTATTTGTATAAAAGTTGCTGTACATAAAAAGCAGAGAAGAAACATTATTTCTTCTTATTGTTGAAAAAAATCTGATGACTACAGCCATTCGTCTTCGCTCACGCAATTATCAATGGTATTGGTGGAATCCTCCAAATGATGTCTCCTCAGAAAAAGCAGCAGAAAAACATTGGCAAAAATATACAGATGTTGAAAATGAAATTATCGAAGATTCATACAAACAAAACAAATCTGATATTGAAATTGATGGTAGTTTTATAATCAGTCTTAAAGATAATGTACAATATAAGAAGAATGATATGAAGACACAACATCCAATAAAACGTGTTCAATTTGATCAAGATCATCATGATATTCTTCATCTGCGTGAAAATAGATTTTCATTACCAATTCCAACCACGTCGAGTCATGAACCCGAGAAAAACGATGAAATTCCACCTCCATCACCTGCATTTTTTCCTAATCTTTACTATCGATGTGAACTTCGTCAACAAAATAAAAGCCTTTCTGATGTCGTAGAAGATGCTGCAAACGGATTTATCAAAGAAGGAGAAAAACTCGATAAATCACATGAAGCTGAATGGTTAGCACAACAACTACTAGCAGTCAAGCATCATGGTCAAAGTTTAGAAAAAGTTGACTGGGACACAGAAATTCCAACAGAAATTGGTGAAGTATGTGTGTATCTTTATACAAAAGAATCATTTCTCTATAGATTAATTAATCAAATTCTTCGGAATCCTACTGGAGCCACTGATGAACAAAGAAGAACATTGGGACCATTCTGTTTTCTACTTCAGCTTTATTTACAACAACATCCAACAACAGAAATTCTTACGGTTTATCGTGGGCTTACTTTAACAGATAAAGAACGAAAACAACTTATGCGACGTTTTTTATCATTTACAAGTTTTACTTCGACTAGTAGAAATCGAAAAAAAGCAGAATCATTTGGTAACACACTTCTTATTATTGATTTGAATATCAAACAAACTTTATCTCCAGATAAAAATGTTTTTTGTGGTGTAAATATTTCACATTTATCTGATTTTCCTGAAGAAGAAGAATTTTTAATTTGGATTTATACATTATTCGAATTTATTAATTATGAATATGATCCAGAAAAGAAAAAACATATAATTCATCTCAGATCAGCAGACAAGAACTGAGGGTGGGTGTATTGAAGTCACCAACGCCAACACCCATTCTCAAGATTTTCTTTTAATTGAACCAATGAGTATGCATTTCTTCATGTGATTTTTAACATTATTTTATATTTATTGAGAGATAAATATATATTACAACATTAGAGAAAATAAATCAGCATATAAAACAACATTTATTTTTAAGTATATAGTTGGTTCTATACTGACAAATTGAAGTCATTGATAAATAATTGTGGAGAACTGGATGTCAATCTATGAAGATATACTAGCAATCTCAGCTGTAGTAATTTGTCGATTATAAATATTTAGTTCGTCAAAAGCACCAACATATGAACGTGATTCGATGGGACCCCACATACAACTAGATCCTCCCATTTGTTGACTTGCAATACTGACATGCATTGATTGATACGGAGGAGTCATTGATGTACCTGTAACTGTTTGATATAATGAACCATTGATATATAATTGAAGACCATTTTGTATACTAAATGTTTGAGCAATGTGTGTCCAAACATTTAATGGAAATGTAGGAGCGGCAATCATCAAAGATGAGCTTTGTGTAATGAGAATACCAGATGAATTGAAGCCTAGTAATGGCATACACCATCCATCACCAGTTGATTGATTGGGTATATGAACAAGAATACCACGAAGACTCATCGGTTTTATCCAAAGAGCAATCGAGAATGATTGATTAGCAATACCAAAAGTCATAAAATTAGATGTTCGAAAATAAGCATTTGTTGAGTTGAATAAAAGAGCATCTTTCACTCGACCAGTGATCATGGTTGAGGGTGTGGGTGTGGATGAGGGTGTGCGTGTCGGTGCAACAGAAGTATAGACTCACCCATACCGTCTTCACTTTTCTCTGAACGTAAGAGGATCCCATAGAAAGTTTGATTGCACTGCCTCTTACCGAGATTAAATGCATAAAGAACAGTCAAATTTTCTTCTTTGTATATTAGATATGTAACAGTACGACATCTCTCCCAGGACTTAAAAAAATGTGAACTATAGCTGTGAGAAAAGTTTTTCTCTCTAACAGTTAACTGGCGAGAGATTATACCGAGTCACAAAACTGGAATTTTTTCTTCACTTATGTGTATCCGTACTCCAACGCGAATAATATCAATTTTTCAAAGTCACATTCCTAACAGATGATATTGCCCATATAAGATGAATGTATTTTGACAGATTGAAATTTCTTTTTATTTGGATGACTCATAGGAGAATAAATAGATGAAGTCGTAGTATTACTTTTACCTGTGTTTTATTCTGACTAATACCAAACATATTGACACATGGTTGTGTAATAACAAATTTTTGACATGGTGAGAAAGAAACAACTATAAAATGCCGATAAAAATAAAATTGACTCAATTATTTATACGCATATCTTGGCGGTATGACAAATACATCTTATAAAACAAACGACGAACAACAACTGAATATTATTCTACAAACTATAGATACTATTGAAAGAGACATAGATTAATTTAATATTATTGAATTGAAATATTGTTGTGCAAGAACGCGTAAGAATAAAATTTTTATTTAAAATAAAACGAGATATTTCTTGAAGTTCACTTTTATTATTCAAATTTATTACTCTGATAATATGTTCTAGACTAACGATTTTAATCTTTATTCATCAAATAACAATATGAGCAACAATCAGGTGAATTTATATTTTGTAGTACTTACATGTTCTAATACTTCTCTTTTCATTTTCATAAAATATAGCTTCCAAATGAGTTTCATGAAAGATTTCCACCGCCAATGATGTTGCTTAACTCATCTGGTCGAGATAATTTTGATTTCTTCAAACCGAACAATCAAAACCAATCCGTATCTTCTCAACAACAAATATCTACTGATCAATCGAGAATAATCCAACGACAAACTCATCAAGCTATTAGAACCGCTACTTATAATACTGCTATCCATCAAAATGTGACGTGCGATGGTTGTGAAATGTCACCAATCAAAGGAGATCGTTATAAATGTTTGTTTTGTCCAAATATTGATTTTTGCGAATCATGTAAATCTACTGGCAAACCAAGTCATAATTTAAATCATCCGTTATTATGTATTAAGGATTCAAGTTTATATTCAAGTTCAACCTACATATCTAATCGTAGTCAACTGTGTCATGACAAAATTCAATGCAATCTCTGTCATATAAATCCAATTATTGGTATTCGGTACAACTGCTCTTGTGGAATAAATTTATGTGAAAAATGTGAATTTATTGGTACACATGATCAAAATCATCATCGTACAAAAATAACAGTGCCAAAAGGTATCAATTGAGATGCGTTCAAGAAAACTAAGATCTATGTTGAGATGAAGAATAATTTTATTTTTAAACTTCATAATGCGAGAAACAATTGACAATCTTGTGGGTATGAATAATGAACAAACAAACCCACACTCACATCCACTCTAGAAATATCTTTTTTGCATACCTATTTGGGTTTCACAAATAAAAACAAAACTTATATAATAAAACATCGAATACCAAAGAAAACCATCAACAGAGAAAGGAAAAAGACAAAGTATTGTATCACAAATAGCAGAGCTGGGGAACTCAACTCAGTCTTATAATAAAATTCTATATGACATATTTTGTTCTTATTTATGCTTAGTTAAGTGCGCTGAAAAGAGTTTATTGTTGTTGTTTATTCTATATAAAACTGATTTTGTTTACAACAAAATACAACAGGATAATCAAAAATTTCGAATGAAACAATAAATAAGCAACTATGATATGCAAGAATCGAGATATACGCCGGTGCATTGAAAATCTTCGTCAATAGACCTTATAAACGTATCGAACAGATAAAAGAAGAAAATAGGACTAAGATTATAGGATTGCTAGAGAAATCTAAATATACAAATATATGTATATGTATTGAAACGTGTACTAAATTAACCATGTCGAGATAAAAGACTTCGATAGTAACTAAAAACTAAATCATAATGATGCACAGACCATTGTCAATTTTAATATATTAATCAATTATACAGTAAAATTTTGCTCGATTTTTCTGATTTGAATGGAGTTGCCAAGCTCTGGAAGAGATTAACAAAACACTTTTGCAAAAGATTTAGTAAAATACAAGGAAAAAATATTGAATTTTGCTTCTTTTCGTAACTCACCTATTTACAAATACGTCACTTTCATGGACTCCGTATACGCACAAGAGCAAAAAAGAAAAATAGCAACAGCAACCATATTGAGGGTGTGGGTATCATATCCATCACACACACACCGCATATTCTTGGTTCTCATACTCACAACACTCACACGATTCAAACGATTCTTACAACCATCGACAATCAAACTAACCATCACAACAAATGTTACAATCAGACACATTTGTTTCAACGAAAATCATTCAAAATTAACTAGGTCAAAGCGGTAAAGTGTCAGATCATCCATTCGATGTCTACTCTTTTGTAACATATTAGTTTTTTTGTAGAAAATAAGATAATTATTACGAATTATTCTTAACTTCGTTAAATTTATTTTCATGAGTTTTGAATATATATAATAAAAGTTTGAAAACATATCTATTGAGTTCCCTAAGCAAGGATGAAACGCGTCATCTGATGCTTTCATACTCTTATATTCTATAATGCGCAGCCACTCCACATCATTATTTCACGAAAAAAACAATATCAAATAAGTATCGTATCTTTATATTTAAATAATAAGTAGAGTATTTGTAAATGTTCTTTCAAGAAGAAATATTAACGTCGTAAGATTGCTGGTTGACAAGAGCTAATGGCTTTTTTAAATTGTTTCATATAAAATTCTGATGGGAGAACAAACACGATGAAAACACTCACTGATGGAACGAAGGAAACTAAATAGCCTGCAGCATATAACGGTGAGTTATGAGATGCTTTCACACATCCTGATAAGAAGGAAATAATGAGACGAGGTATTGATAAAATAACTAGAAGTATTGAACTGATAATAAGATGTTTGTGTTGGGCGAATTGTTTCGAGAGATGTTGACGGTATGTTAGTCGTGGTTCTAATCTTGCTCGTTGACGAGCTCCATGAAAAATAATAAATACAGCAGAAAAAAGATTGGCACAGAATGGACAGAGAAAATGAAAGAAAGAAATGATTGTATTGTATGTATGAACTGAAGGAGAATAAAGGATTACACACCATAAACGTTGTTCATGTTTATCTTCAGCTAAATTACGATATAAAGGTTCATGAATAATAGAAATTGGAATCAATAATGCTAAAATAATAATCACCCATCGTGCACTACGTTTACTCAGCAATTTGTCAAAACGAACGCCTGTATACACAGTCATGAATCGTTCGAGGGCTACACAAGCATTAAGCCAATTGTCCATATATAGACAAACTTTTAAAAGAAATTCCAATGATTGACAACCACTACGAAGAGTAGAAACATTAGTTAATGGATTGATTTGAGTGATTATATGAAACCAGAATTTGAATGTGAGCATGCTTACTGTGAGAAGAGATGTGATAGATGATGCAAGAAGATATATTCCACAGCCAATCAGTCTGGACTCTGGAATACGAAAGGTTATGAAGGATAAAAAGCTATTGATTAAGCCTGCAACAAGTATAATCATCGTAAATGCTGCATACCATTTAATCACAGATGATTGTTCATGCATGGTTGCATTCGGTTGAATATCATAACGAAAGATATCATCTAATGTTAGTCCAACACCTTTTGCATAAAATTGACATTGATCACCAAAATAACAATCAATACAACTACAAAATGTAGTCACTGGACACTCAGTGCCCTCTTCCATACATTTTGCATTATTCTGACAATGAGTAGTATATCGGCATTCCGAAGTATTATGTTCGAACTTGAAACAGAAAGCATGACGCTCAAGAGTACACAGACACATATGAGATTCATCAAAGAAACATAATAGATGAAGTTTAGTTTGACATATGACATGATAATATTTCATTCGTCGAATTTTAGGTAAAACTCTCAATTCAGAGTTTAAGACTTCATCAATTGATAAACATCGTTGAGACGAATCAATCGAAGTAGAAACATTTACTTGATCATGTCGTTGCAGATAGGCTAAATAATAACTGTTATCAATCTTGGCAAAAACTGCACGTAGAGTTTGTGGTGTATTTAATGATACAGTACGTTCAAACATCTTTAGATTTCGTGATACTACCGTCAACTCCATTTTGTCGAAGTCTGCCGTAGTTGCTATATCAGTGAAGATATAGATCGATAGAATTGGTGATGAGACTTTTATGTTATGAAAAGAAATTTCAAATATTGGTTTTTCTATGTCACAAAGTACGCCATTAAAATTTTCCGAACACACGCAAACAAAACCCAATTCATTTATGCCATCATCAACTACCAAACAGGAACCATTGTTGTCGCAGTAATTTTCTGGACATGAAAGTGTAATTAGACATCGTGGACCTCCTTTATTAAGAGGACATACACATATGGATCGATTATGAATCATACCAACACAAAGCGAATCAGATGAACAATCATTACAACGAATAGGAATATCACATCTAACACCAGACCATCCCATATTACATTGACAAAAACCTGTTTCTTTATTCATATATTTCGCGCATTTACCATTGTGACATGTAACAGAGCATTTAATAATATTGGATGGTGGATGATCTGATATACTTAATAGAACAGCCATTCGATTGTTAGGTAAAAACGAAAAAGGTACTGAAAAATGCCAACTACCAATATATCTCATAGGAGTCTTGTCAAATACATCAACACGAACACTATGGTTTGTTGAAGTATTCTTTGGACGTGACAAATAAGTAAGATAAGTATTGTAAACTCGGTCACAATCTCGAGTACTGGTCGAAATAAACTGATGATAAGAATTTATCTGTTGACGATCATCGTCATCATCGATTAACGTAATAATCATTGCATGAATACCATATCTATTGATCGTATTTACTTTCATCGTGAAACTTACTCGTTGATTTTGGTATTGACATAGATCACCATAGTAGTGTGGTGGACAAAAACATTTGTATTTTAACGAATTATCTCCAGACCAGACAGTAACGTAGAGACCATGATTACAACGCCATGGCCATGTATGATCATGAGGTTCTTTAGTGATATATTTTGTAAGACTATGTAATTCTATCTGCGGTTGATTTGCGTATTGGATTGTTTTTCTTGACAGTAGAGGATAAACTGGCAATGTTTCTAATGAGGCTCTAGCTTTGCTCAAAGTACCGATACGACAAAGAGCTTCTGTTACGTTAGAACAACCATACTTATCACATTGCGAACAAGATTTGTCCTCTCCACAAAAAACTTCGTCATCTTCGAAAGAGCAGTCTGGGTCGTTATCACACAGCCTATTGCGTTTAATACATTTACTATCATTCCAACAGTGAAATCCAGAATAGGTTTCATATTCCCATATACCACTACGACAGTACTGAAGTTCATCTGCTGCTCCGAGACAATCTATATGATTATCATTAACTTGATCTGCTGGCAAACATGTTAGAGTATAATCATATGGTGATACACAAGCAAGAGAACCTGAAGGACAAATCTGTCGTTCTGTACAATTATCTTCATCTTCTCCAGAAGGACAACTCCAAAAGCCATCGCAACGTGTATAAACATTGTTACAAGGCCATTTTTCACATTCGCTTTCATCCGTATAATTTTGTCCATCGATTATTACAGGAGACATTTCAATATATCTATCACATAAATGTTTAAAATCTATCTTATCGATAGTAAGTAAATGCTGCTGAGGACATATTTCTTGCGAAACGAATACTGCATAGCATTTGTTTTCGTTGCCACATTTGAAACGTCGTGTATCGTTGATTAAACAGCTAAGTTCAAATTGTTCTTCGTCATCATTCAAATAACAATCTGAAATATTGTCGAGAATTCGATGTTTTGAAATACATTTTGATGAATTTTTGCAGCAGTATATTAATGACGAATATTGAGAAAGATTTGTGTTGTTGTATGTAGTCAAACATTTACGAAAATATGGTTCAATTACACTAATGATAGAAGTCCATGTTGTTAATTTCTTAATTAAATTCGAACTAATATCACGGCTATGTCGACAAGTATAGTTTCTAATTCGAAATGTTGGTATAAGAAAATCACACAATTTTGAATCGTAACATATATAATCAGGTATCAGAGCAAGATCAGTATTTAATCCATGTTTAGTATCGTTCAAAATATATAAGAAGCGTATGTGACCAAAAAGTACAGGAACAATTGGAAATTGAATTATAGTTTCGCAACTTTCTAAGTAAGTAGTGATATTAGACGATTTAAAGAATTGTTGGCATGATGTTCCATTGACTTGATTGAGAATCTTAGTCAGACATATCATTGTTATCCAGCAGATGGAAGATAAATTTCCTTGCATACTTATCAACTCATATAAGAATAAATCTCGTTTGTTAAGACATTTATCATAATCTGCTACACATCGTCCATCACCACATTTAAATTGTTTATCATCTAATGGACACATATGCTCTTCAATATCAAATATATGTCGATAACCACTTTGAGCTGGATAAGGAATGATATCTAATGAGTCGGATCCATCAAGACATTGTGATCGTTCATCTTTCAAAAATCCTTTTGATATACATAATCCATTACGACATCGATATTCATTTTCATTACATTCATTGATTTCCAACTGGAAACATTGATCTTCATCTATACCTCCATCGATACAATCAATTCGTCCATCACATATCTCACGCCAATCAAGACATATATTCGAACCTCCACGATCACATTTTAAGTGAATGTAACAAGTCAGACTAGTAACAACATATGGGGGAGCCGAGTAATATTTTTTAGTGAATGTCTTTCGTACAATGTCTGGCAACATATATATTGTATCTAAACCAAAAGAATATTGACATCGAGGCCCAAACCATGGTTTTGTACAATTAAAAAAAATTTCTGTCGATTTAAATGAATTGTTTGGTTGATCAATATAATATTGATATCGTTCAATAAGATCGATTGCAGCAGACCATGCAAGAAGCTCTTGTGTAATAACATTTAGTTGACGTAATTCATCAAATGTGAAATTTCCATTAGTTGTATTGGGAAATTTCTCAAGCAATATATCATTATCACTGATAGGACCGACACAATATTCAACTTTCTCAGTAAGTTCTATCCAGTAATACACATAATGATGTAGGCAGTTGGTGTGAAGGTTACCGGCATCAAGAGATGCATCAGTATTATATAAATTGAATTGAGATCTCGTTACTGAACATAACAACCCAATCAATAATAGACTATATAACATCATTGTTTCGATTAAATTACTTGTACAATATACTGAAACGTTAATAATAGCTTATATCAAGGATTTATATCTAGATAAAAAAAAAATGAAAGAATAAATAGAATAAAAAACTTTATACTGGTTTTTATTTTATATTGATGAACTGTTTAGCCCTGACACGACTAGGGATGTACTGAACCCCGATCGAGTCTCTTGGACTCGGTCAGGCTCAGGCTCGATCAAGGCTTGGACTTGGCCAGACTCGTGCTCGGGTGTGAGGATGGGTGGGTGTGGCTGAGAGTAAGAGTGTGAGTGCAGACACTATCCGTTTCACTATCACTCACATATTTACCCACACCCATTCTGATCCCCAAGCTCTGACCGGGCCCCGAGTCTCAGAGGCACGAGCTCGGTACATCCCTAGACACGATCAGTTGTAATCTGTTTAAATGTCGAACGTTTTATAAAACGCTTATTTATGAACAGTATTTCATTTTGATCGCTTCATTCTATGCTGTAACGAACGACCTATGTATATCCTAATAACATCAGCTAATTTCAGTCTCTGGTTAGTATAGTGCTGGAACCGCACAATCCTCTAAACATCTCTTTTACAACTGAAACCCATGTGGGCCTTAGATGGTTGTATCAGGAATAAAAAATAGAATCGCTGTGATGTATCGATAGGTTTGGAGATGGTTCACTTTTAGTTAATTGACCAAAATACATACAAAGGTGTATTTAATTTCAAATTGAACTGAGAAAAAAATTGAGTTGCTTTCAAACTAAAATGAGAGGACTGGGGAGATTAGCAGGACTAAAGGGAACTTGGGGATCAGGGATACTAAGAGAACTAGAGGGCTAAAGGAACTATAGGATTAAGAGCGACTAGATGACCAAGGGGCTTAGAGGATTAGGGGACTAACGAGACTGCGCAGGGGTAGGGAGATGGGCTAAACCTAAACAATGTTGAAAAATAAGTATATCCCAAGATAAAAGCAGCTAAAGGCCATGTGTGAGAATTGAGGGCGACGGTGATAGTGATATGAACGATGATGAAAAAGGTAGTAATTATTACAGTAAGGAACTAATGATGATGATGACAGTAAGGATGATGATAATAACGATGCTGATAACAATGAGGATTAGTTGATGATATGGGTGTGGATAAGAGAAGAACACAGTACCAACACCCACTTCTAGTCCCCTTAATTCTTTAGTCTACTTAGTCCTCTAGTCCCCTAGTCTCCTAGCCATCTGGTTTCCCTGATCCTCTAATCCGCCTAGTCCCCCTAGTACTCTAGTCCGCTTAATCTTCTTATTTCCCCAGTCTCTCTAGTCCCACTAGTCCTCCTAGTCCCTCAGCCCCTCTAATCCCCTTAGTACCACAGTCTCTTGAATCCTACTAGTCCCCTTATTTCCCTAGTCCCACTAGTGCTCAAGGTCGCCCTATTTCCCTAGTCCCCCTAGCCTTCTAGTCCCGTTAGTTGCTTAGGTCTATTATCAATAGCATAATGGTAACGATAGCACAACTATTAGTTTTTATTTGGAAAGTTTACGCAAGCCATTTCTCTTCGCATCTATAAAATGAAACAGTAAATAGAGTATAGGGTATCTTTAGTTTTAATGGTACTTTTGAATACTAAAATATGGGCCATTCGCTTAGGCGTGAGTAAAGTCAATGCTCTTGTGTTTGTCCTAGTCACCTGCTTTTTGTACAAAGTAAGACTCAGTTTGTTTTTCAAAATTTAGTTAAAAAAAAAACACCATAGACTCCTAACATCGTACATACGAGACAATAAATTGCACCCGAGACAAATACGATGCACTGTAAGTTAAAATGAAATTTTATCGACGAATGCAGTTGAGATTCAGAATTCTACTACGCATTTTCTTTGACTATTAAGCGTAAACATACCTTATGCATAATATGTCAGTCGACTTTAATCAAGTGTAATAAAGTATCGAATGAAGAAGCTAACAAAAGGGTAGAAATTGTTGACTTGTCTTCATTAGGATTAGCGTCATTTATGCACATATCTCTATGTAAGCGTAAGCCGTCGGTTTGAATGCGCGTCGGCTCTAGCAAAATCAGTAAATGCCAGTCGTCGGCTTCAGCAAAAATCGGCTGACGGCTTACAACTCTAGTCATTTCTAACATTAAAATATTTCAGGAAATGCGCAACAACATTTTAATGGAAGCAAAATAGTAGAAAAAAAATCTCTAAGTTCGAATTATTAGTCAGATGGTATGCTCGTATAAGTTAGACGGAAACAGGGAAAAAGGTTTATGTCAGTTGTCAATATTCAGTGATATGATATTATTCTAAAAGTCATGAAGAAAATGCAAATTGAACAAAGCCTGACAACTACAATTAATATGTCATATGGTATTCTTTAAAGAGTGAAATGAAAAGAAAAGGGAGAAAAAACTAATTTTTCTTAACTATACAATAGAGAAAAAAATATTGCTGTAATAAATAATGGCTTAAATTTTTTTGTTGAAATCTTGATCACATCAGAAAATTGTTTTCTCATATACCGGGTGAGGCAAAAGTTTTACGACATTCTTTATTTTACTTACATCTCGACCTGAGAAAATCATAAGATCTTGATGCTTTTTGAAAAGATAGAGCACGAAAGGCTGTACAAAAAATGCACTAGGAAATCTTTATCGACTGGTTCGAACGATTTTCTCGTAGTCAATCTTAACAACCTATATGGTGCTGCGATTTTCTAGTATAATTGGAGGAACAGGAATGTATCCAAGACGTTTTCGTTTTTCTTTGGGAACTTTTACATACAGCCAGTGTAGAGATTTTAACGGCGCATCTGTCAAGAAAAAAATGTGAGGTATTATTATTTATCAAACCCAAGATAAATTCAAAACAAGGAAAAATCTTCTTATATGACGGGTAATAGAGCTATCGTTTAGTTGTCTTTCTGTAGTTTAGAAAAAATAAAAAGTATAAGTCAATATGAGTTTATTTGCACTTATTTTGTAGTTCTTT